AAAAACTTCTCTGGATTTTTGGAATTTCTTGTGATTAATATCTTCGAATCTAAAATCTGATGGAAGTTCGAGGTCTGCGGAGTCTTCATAAGGGAACCAGATTCGTGCATCTTTCTTAAAACCTTCGTAGAAGCTACAGAACCAGTCCTTAAGCAGCTCGGCCGATAACTTTGCTCCTGCATCGGTTGGTGTGGATGCATATTCTCCATACGACATGCACCTGCGATGGGTGCGCTCTTCTCCGTCATCTTCCACGATCGGCCCTGGCAGTGTGAATTCAGCTTCTGTTATAGAGGGCCGATTGACAACCTTCATAACTATCAGGTTTAACCAAGTTTGCAGCAGCCACCAGGGTCCACCTGCTCCAACCACTGAGCCGACGGCTATTCTAGCCGATGCATTGTTCAACATCTGATACAGATAGCCGAGAAGGATTTTGCCCAAAGGGAATTCTTTCTTTGATTCTAAGGCTTCAGCTACGAACTGCCAATTGGTTGTAGGGCCACAACTGGATCCACAGAAGAGGAACTTTTCCAGCCACATGAGCAAAAAGGCTACGTGCTCTCGAGGGGTAACAGATCCTTGGCCCATGTATGCCGCCACATAGCCGAACCAACCACCTATGCTCTTGGTCTTCAAGTCAAATTGGTTCTTGATATTTATGCTCATGGGGTTAGCCGATGAAGTCACATCTAATCCGGTAATCATGGTGATGTCGATTAAAGTTGGAGTCATCGGCCCCTGGTTGAATAAGAAAGCGTTGATGGTGTTCGACCAGAAGTAGGTGGCGGCAGCCATTAGAGGTTCATCCTTAGCAGAATTGGCTATGGTGAGAGCAAGTGCTTGGCCGATTCCAATCTCGTCCCAATGAACTTTCTTACTAGCCGCGTTGATACCAAGTAGACCAGCTCTTATCAGGTGTGAGTTTTTCGAGAGATGGCCAAGACTTAAAGGTATTCTTCCAGTGACCCAAGTTAGGGTTGGCTAGCCTAAAAGGGATCCGGTTGGTTTCACCAATGATGAAATCAGTGGGGTCGAGATTGCCGATTGGGCCAAGGAAATAGTGGTTCTGGTGCAAAAGACTGGGAATTGCGACTTGGTGGGAGAGATGCTACAAATCCAAGGCAATCGATATAAGGAAAACGATATAAGATAGGAGAAAATCGATCTGCTGATAAGAAAGGGGATCTAGCCGATAGAGACTTACCTCAGTGTACTCGGTTGATGGCGCATCAGATGGGTTGGTGGAAGACGACATCGTTGCAGGCGGAGGTCTTGCCGGAGACGAAGTCGCCCGGGAGTCGCTTTTGCATCGGAGGAATCGCCGGAGAGAGAGGGGATTAAGATTCGCTTGAGCGGTGAAAACGGAAGTCACGGTGTGAGATTTCTCGAGGGTGACGGTTAGTATTTAAAGCACGGCAATAACGGTCGGAAAACGGCAAAGTGCGAAACTTCGTCGGAGTCGATTTACAGCAAATCCGAAACATTTCCAAATATTCCGGACTTGGGGGCGTGTGTTAACAACCAAATTTGGTAACATCGGCATTGGGAAAGAAGATTAGATCGAAGCAAAGTCGGAGGCGGAGATCGAGTTCGAAAACAGAGCAGGAATCGGCTGGAGTCCAGATCGGCTACGATGAGATCGGCTGAGTCTGAGACGGGCTAGGTGAGCCGATGTAGCCGATCCCGACAATACGACTTGTATACGACATCGGGTTTAAGTTAATGTGCTTCAAGATGATTGCCATGCACGGATAGAGTCCTGGGAAGGCAATTGTATCTATTAATTAAGATATTTTATGTAAATTCCTTATAGATAAATGTGGGCAAAAGTCTACCGCAAAGACTTATGGTATTTTAGGGTTTGTTAGATATAATAGTCGTGTCCGGTATGGGTATATCTTGTAATTCTCGGGTATAAATAGACCCCGAGCCCTATGTAATTGATAACACACACGTTCAATACAATTTTGGCGCATCGCCACCCTTTTGCTTTAGTTTTGTTTCGACGAGTTCTTACTTTCGGGTTGAGCTGCATCGGATTCGATCTTCAACAAGAGGTAAAACTTGTTATGATGACTTATATTCTCGGGATTAGTGCTTCCATCTTTATGACACTCTAATCTTGTTTATGTAATTCGTCGAGTTATCATATATCTTACATAATCTCTGGCAATATCGCTATCTAATCTACTATCGGCTAACATCTGTTAGCAGAGGGCAACCGATTAGGTTAGATTTTGACGTTGATCTAGATTATATAAGATATCTACCACTCTATGAAACTTCTAGCGGCTTGATTGTCTAGATATCGTTCTTCTTTTCATACTTAATGCTATATCAGTTGAGTTTGATCTATTAAGTCGTGCTTAGAATATCGATCTTTAGCCTGCCTTCTAGTTGCTGATTAGAGTAGCGTCGGAGTTTCAGCCGATCTTATCTGATTTAACTATATTTGTTCTATATGCTTCATTGACATGTTAAATCTGTCCTTTATATCGAGATATTGTTGTATCTAAGTATATTAGGCCTTTGTTTGATATATTATACCTGCTTTAATTTCCTGATATAGAGTAGTATCGGAGTATTAGCCGATACATGCTAGATCTATCTGATCGGCTATGCTATAAACATATATAGTCCTGTTATTGATATATATATTTCGATCTAAGTGATTTATACTGTCTCGGCATGGTGACCGATCTATCCCGATCACTTGATTTAAGTATACATCGATATAAGGGGTATATATCGTTGATATCTACAGCTGATCGAGTAGATTTAGTTCTTTCTTACTTATTCATGACTGCCGACCGATACACAGATGACATCAGCTCAAAGATAAATGATATGTCATCGGCATCTAGCCGATCGGCTATCATTTATAGTTTTAATCACGGTTTCTTTGCTTCTATTTCTTGTTGATTACAGGATCAAATCAATTGGCACGCTCATACATTCGAAGGCGAGCTTTGGACCTGCACTGGAGTTAAGAAGATCTCCCAGGCCACGTGTTTTTTGTCAACAGATTTATGCTATTCGTAGCTTACGCGTATCCCATCATCAGCCTGTCACGGGCGCTGGGGTCGTCGCGCTCGCGGTGGCTGCACACCAGAGCCGCTGCTATGATTACCCACGCTAGAGTCGCCACGCCTCTAGGTTCGGGATTTGACGCTGCTATTAACGTGCGGGAAGAACTCAAGATGGGGAATATGAACCCTAGAGCGAGAGGAACTCTCCCTTCCCCTCCTATTAGTTTGCAACCGCCTGGTCAGCATGACAACATGGCAAATACGGTCCAGTCAGTCTGCCACGTGTGCAAAACCTCCTCGTGAAACAGCCTAGGGGGTTAAATGGACTGGATTATAAGGTTTGGGGGGCTAGATACCCCATTTTATAGTTCTGGGTACTATATAGACTCTTGGGCATAGTCTAGGGGGATTTGGACTTTTTTCTATCCAGTAAAAGTACTACTTAGAATATAAAAATGAGGAGGAAGAGTCTCTTTTAGTAGAATTTTTACTAAGCTATTATGCAAATTGAAGCGCGGGAGGAAAGGAGCTGGCTGTGGCTGGGGAGGGGGCAAGTGCGGGTGCTCGTGCGCTCGCGTGGTGGTTTGGCCCCCTTAGTCTCTCATCTCTCCTCTCTACACACACACGCACACACGCGCGCGCGCGCACACACACACACACACATATATATATATATATATATACACTTTATATAAATACGTATAAATTTTGTATATACGTACACAAATTATATATACATATATAAAGTACGTACATATATTGTAATATGTATATGTATATGTTTTTTATATAGATATGTTTAATGTATAAAAAGATATATACACATGTATAATGATTTATAGGTGCGTATAAAAACTTTGTATACGTACATAATTTAAAAACAAAATAACTGAGAGAAAAGAACCAAAAGAAAAACATATCACAAACTTTATATACATACACATAAAAGTTTGTATAGGTATGTATTAAAAAAGGGTGAATTGGAACCATCTAGAGAAAAAAAAAAGAGTGAGAAAGCTGAAAAAAAAATATAAAAAAAAGACCACGTGCCTCTTTCCCACGCTCCGCCCCCTTCTCCGCGCAAGCCACGTGACTGCGCCATTAGATAGCCTTTTTGCCAACCTAGTATTTCCTCAGCTGCTCAGCTCGTCAGTTGTCCTATACCACGTAATATTGAAGGAGGGATGACCTCGAAGCTAATGCCATCTGGATCGGTCTCAGCTTCTCGTGCCGTCGTGTATGCTTAATTATGTGGAGTATCTTTTATGATTATGCACGTGACAAAACTATATGCAAAAACAAAAGACTATATCTAACGAGGAGAATAATTTTGACGAGCTAATAGACAGAGAGAACAGTGAAAGGTTATTAAAACTTGGCCGACAGGAAGCACGTGGCGCCGGTGGTACGTCCGACGAAAGGACGGTACCCCCGGCTCGCAGTTATAAAACTAGCAGTACAAGGTCTGCTCATATTGATACAGCAGCTACACAGCTAGCACCACTAATAACGAGCAAGCTAGTCGTCAGTGGCGAATCTATAACGAAAATATAGGGGTGCTCCTTTCTAATGCGTTTTAGGAAGTATGGATGAAAGCTTGCATGTCATCTAAATAGTTCTAATTAATTTGAAAAAAAATAACAATATGTATTGATATGAAATATATTACTCCATAAGTATATAACTTCTACGAGTTACAACAAAAATAACAAATTAAATTGAAAATAGTTATCGTACATTCACAATTATATTTATTTTTTTTGCAACATGTAGAAGTTGAATTTTAACTTTCATGTTTGTGGAGTGATATATTTCACATTAATCATTTTTTTAATTTTTTGATGATTATTTAGATGACATGCACAAAACGATGTGATATCCCCTCGAGGGATAAAAACGCTTTCCCATGATGGAAGACAATACGACAAGGGCACAACCACAAATTCAATAACACAATTGTTGATAATTGTTGGATTACTTTGTGAGTAAAAACCACTCACTTCCCTAATCCCCTGATCGTTCCATCCATTGAAGTAGGAAAAAAAAAAGAAACAAAAACTAATACAGTAGCTTAATAAGGAAGGTCTAGCAGCCAATTAGTCCACTTAATCACCCATGGATCGCGATATGTTGTCTTTGTTTGCTCCTTCCTTGCGACCTGGTTGATCTGCACTTATGCTATACGCTGCTTCTCTCCCGAAACCATGCGGCTGCTGCTGGTTCTGCCGAGATGGAGCTGGGGCTCAAGCCCCAACGAGCCCCAACGAGCCCCAACGGTGAATCCGCCCCTGCTAGTCGTAGCTAGCTAGCGAGTGAATCAGTGGAGTGACGAGAGATCTCGCGATGGCGAAGGCGGTGGTGCTGCCGCTGGTTAGCAAGCTTCAGGAGGTGGCCCTGAGCGAGGGGAGGGCGCTGGTTGGCGTCGGCGGCGAGATCAACCGCCTCCGCGACAAGCTCATGTGGCTGATGGCCTTCCTCCAGGAGGCGGACCCCCAGAGGCGGGCGGCCGACGCCGGCGGCGAGCTCATGCGCGTGCTCGTGCACCAGACCCGCGACGCCGCGTTCAGCGCCGAGGACGCCCTCGACGACTACGCCGTCCGCGTCGACCTGTCCCGCTACCCCGGCTGGTCGCGCGCCGCCGTCGGCTTCCTCGCCGGCATCACCACCCAGCTGCGCGTCCGCCACAGGCTCTCCAGCGACATCGCGGCCATCCATGCCCGCTTTGAGGAGATCGTCGGCAACAAGGACAAGTACAGGCTGGAGGGCTCTGCGCCCTCGTCGTTGCTGACGTGGACTGCCTCCGCCGCCTCCTCGAGTGAATCAATCCTCTGGTTAGTCAAACACAGTCCTTACACGATCGAAACGCTCTATTCACTTCATACGTCCTCCTTCCATACTCGTAAAGAAAATCGACAATATTTAACAATATAAATTATAAATAACTCAGTCAAATCTTGAGAATATAAATTATAAATAACTCTTAAGTTATTGTGTTTAAAAATATAAAAATTATATAAATAGATTTGTCTTGAAAAAAACTTTCATAAAAAGTATACATATATCATTTTTCAATAAATATTTTTATAGAAACAAGAAGTCAAAATTATATTTTGAAGACCGTGTTAATATCCTAAACGACTTCCTTTACGAGTACGAATAGAGTACTCGTACGGGGATACAAGCGAGCTAAGCGGCGAACCCGCTTATAAACAAAACTAGTGCATAACCCACGAATTGACTCATAGGTTACCTTCTAAGGGTTTGTTCGGCACCTCCTTTTCCCAACCCCTCTATCTCGTTTTCCGCGCACACGCTTTTTTAAACTGCTAAAAGGTGTATTTTTTGCAAAAAATTTATATACAAAAGTTGCTAAACGGAGGAAGTACTCGGTTAATTATAATTACATGCTAATGCTTCATGTCTTTGTATACGCCATTCAAAATTCCAGTGAAAGATTCATATCTCGGGGCTGTGTTTTTTTGGGAGGTTGGGAACCCTCCCATCTGCACGGAAATCGGAGCGATAGATTAACACGTGATTAATTAAGTATTAGCTATTAAAAACTTGAAAAATGGATTAATATGATTTTTAAAGCAACTTTCCATTATAAACTTTTGCAAAATGCGTACCTTTTAGCAGTTTAAAAAGCGTGCACGCGATAAATAAGGAAGATGAGTTAGAGTTCATGGGAAAGAACACAGCTAGGCTTTTCCTTGGTTTCAACGATTAGGCTTAGATTTTCGACACGGGCGTGAAACGTGAAAAACCGTTAGCATATACTCTATGCTAATTATTGAAAAACCACTAGAGTAACTAATCTAGTAGCATTAATTTTTTTAAACTTGAAAAAAGTTATTTATTTGATTTTTAAAGATACTCCATAGAAAAATTTTACAAGAAACATATCGTTTAATAGTTAGAAGCGTGCTTACGAAGAATATGAAAAGTTTATAAGAACTCACACAAGAGTGGTTTTCTGGATGGCATGGTAATATATATGTAGTGAAACGTTTTCTTTATTTTTGTAAATCCAAATAAAGGAAATTATCTTTAGACAGTTTTTTCCCCAAATACAGTATAGAATCTCATGTGTACACACAGAGCTTATGATCACATACACGCAACCTACCAAGTATTTCTGAGAAATTGAGCTGTCATATACACTTAAAATATAATAACCCATAAATACTAACATATCAGTATTGAGTCGGTTACAACAATGCATGGTAGATCATTTGTGATCATATGGACAAATTTGGTATGATTTAAATAGAAATATGTAAATATCATCAGTTCATTTTTTTTATATTACATGAAGTCATTTCTCACATGAGAAAAACTTATTTCACTATATACAGATGTTAACACAGATACTCTATACAGCAATTGTGTGTATGTTCATAATGCATGTATATAGAAGTCAGTACTTTAAAAAAATTGAGAAGAAGTCGCTTACTACTTAATTAAGATTCCAAATTAAAGTGGTTTTAGCATTGTCACGCATTAGTAAAGCTACAGTAAAATTGTGCAAAGTTAATTAGGCTCCCATCGGATGGCCTAATCAGCTAAAGAAAAAGCCAAATTTTAAATTTCATACTTAATTTTGAGATTGATTTTCAGATGTTTTCAACGTAGTTTCTTTTTCAACCTTGGCTTTTAAATCACCCAGAACACATATATAAAAGTTTTACCTACAAATTCATTTGTATTCCCTAATAAGCCGTTTTGGCTTATTAGAGAAAAAGCCAAACGATGGGGACCTTAGTTTAGTACTCCCATCCGTTCCCAAGTAGTTATTATTATAAATTGTTTAGCATATATTAATGTGTTGGGCAAGAAATAACCATAGTACCTTAATATTTGATTCATGTGTTGTTGGGAGTGAGAGGGTGGTTAAAGGTAGGAAGGAAAAACTATATATTGAGGATAACTGAGGTAACAAAAATTACTCTGAAGTAAGTTACTCTAAAGTGATAAGTCTTTTTAGATAAATTACGAATCCTTAAACGACGACCAGCTATATAGGACGGAAAGAGTATGATAAAAAACAGACTTGTTCCGTTTTAAACGAACGTCGATAAGACCTCTTTAATTAATTTGTTTTTATATCGATTCTTTTGAACTTTTTCTTCTGCAAAGCTTCCGGAATTATTATTCAATCTCTTGCGGGGAATTATTATTCGATCTCTTGCGGGGTACGGGTTGTTTGCGATTTGGCTGCATCACTCCGTTGACTGACCACAAAAGTCTCGTCAAATCACGTGTCTGGCCAGTAAGGGGATAGCACATACTTGCATTCAAATAACCTTGTTATTAAGACAAAACGAAATAGGAAAACTTGCCACTTGGACTAAATGATATGCACCACTTGTACTTAAAAGAACGACTTACGTACCTTTAGTCTCAAATTAAACTTTGGTTTCTTTTATGTCATCTATTCTTCAACAAGCAACTTATAAGAATATTCTAAACACAACATCATCTAACTATCGCAACAGTACGCATGATTTACACCCCTAAACTTCTATACTGAATATTTTACACCCTCCAAATTTTCAAATTGAACGAATTACCCTCTAACCAAGCCAAGAGCAGTTTGATGCCAAGTGATATACGCGTGGTAACCGAGCCAGGGGATTTTTTTTTTCAAGAAAAGTTTAACTAGCCCACGTGTATATTCTTCCTCCCAATCCACTTCCTTTCTTTCTCCCCTTTCTCTATTTCTTGTCTCAGTTGCTTCGAGCACATGCCTAGCTGTTAAAAAACCGGTCCCAAAATCACCATTGGAAACCGAACATGGAAGAAACGCCATAGGAGATCCAAGCACGATGAGAACAACGAGACACGATATTTGTTAACGAGGTTCAGCCGAAGCCTACATCCCCGGGGCGCTGATTACAAGCGCTATTTCCCGATCCAGCATATTAAAACGTATCAGAGTTACAACGACCCTCGGCCGGACGCCGCAGGCGGCCGCTCCCTCTCGCTATATTAAGTCATCATATGGTTACAACAGGTCTGACTCTCTATTTAAGAGAGATCCTAAGATAGAGTCCGACTCTTACTCTAGACCTAATGCCTATTACAACTCCAATTCCTAAATTGTAACCTACTTTGTACACATATTCGACACAAAACACTAACAAATTCCACATCGGTGAATATGCCACGTCAACCTGAATTTGTCCCATGTATGAACCTCTGCTTACCCAGACTTGAGTTGGTTCCTTTTTGCCGTTCATGTTGAGCCGCCCCCGACGAACCTTCACCCGGCTCACCGTTAACGAGAGACCTTGCTATCCCCGTAAATTATCTCTCTTGACTCCACCCGCAACAGGGCTCCACCTTCTCTCATATCACTATAGTCGTCTTGCCAAGTGAAATTAAATTTCTTCTTAGCTGGCACACAGCAGACTCCGCAAAGACCTTGTTCACCTTCACTTTCCATTTTAAGTTTGAGTTGATCTAATCCATGATGTGATAATACACGTATCACCAAAATAGATAAATCAAATACACTAGAAATGAAGAGAACCCTTTATGTATCCTAAATATATCATGTACTGTCAAACAGTCCGTTGACACTCTCAATGATATTCATCTGCTGCTGCCTGGGTCCTACTCGCATGCTGCTTGACAGGTCGAGTCTCCCTGCACTGCTTTTCTGCCCGAACCAATACTTTGACTTAATATGACACCGTTGCATAGCCAATGCAAGAAATTCCTTACACATGGTCTGAATTGTAGCATGCGGGATTATGATGAAGATACATGCATGCAAATGTATTTACCGTCCAGGAGTACAATAATTGTGTTATAATCCTGACCAAGTACCTATGCGTGTAATATTCTTGCATGCAGTGCAGACACCTCGGTTTCAACGCCTAAGCCACCTTGACCCAAGCCCAAGTACCAAACAACCATCTCAGAGCAGGTACAATGACAGACAGACAACTATAAACACATATAGAAGAGAGAAGAGAGAAGAGAGAAAAGAAACGGGCTACAGATTTGTAGCCAGCTGCAGCACATATTCCAAGACGTTATGTGTATATGATAGGCAAGACCAATTATTAATGATGTAGTATATATTTGTAGTTAACTATTGTATGAATTGGCTATTAGATTGCTTATAGATGATTTGGAGCTAGTAGTTGGTTATACTTGCTCTCACGGTAAAAAAAAAAAAAGTCAATGGCTCCTCAGTCACCAACCGGCTACCTTCTCATCCGAAATCCGATACATTTGCTAGGAGCCTGGGACCCCCCCCCCCACCGCCCACTGCAGCCAATCCACATGCGAACAAGCGTCGAAACGACCTGTTCCCACACTACCCAGGTCCGCTGCCTCATCGCGCGCGCATATGCCTGCCAGGAGATGCCACCTCTATACGTGAGTCTCAACCTTTGCTCATCACGCCCGCATGGACTGCCATGTGTCCTCCCGCCTCAAATTCTGTTCATTGCCACCATGCTCCACCTTGCATCCATGACCATCCTTGGACATCCGTGTAGTCGTCGCAGCGTGTAGCACCTCCCTCGTACCTTTACTATGGATCTCCCGCAAGTTCTGATACCACTTGTTATAAAACCGGTCTGAAATCACCATCGAGAACCAAACACGGAAGAAACGCCATAGGAGATCATAACACAATGGCGACACTGAGGCACGATATTTGTTAACGAGGTTCAGCCGAAGCCTACATCCCTGGAGCACTTATTACAGACGCTCCTTGATCTAGCATATTACAGCGTATTAGAGTTACAGCGACTCACGGCAGGACACCACCAAACCACTGGTGGATGATAAGGCTTGCTAGAGGTGAGGATGCTAGTCATAATCATCCCATCTTGCTCCACCACCACCTTAGCCCACTCCCAACGTAACGGTAACCTGAAGGTCGCCCCAAAAGAAAACATATAGATATTTATGATTTTTTTGCTTGGTCAATATTGTTCTCCGGATAAAGGATTTTGTCACCCACATAATGAAGTGTTAACCGACCATCAATTAACAAGGCCAACATATCTTCTTTCTTTAAAAATAGGGCCAACACATGTAATAAAAATAACAATATAAAGTGATACTGTCGTTCCACAGATAGAGTAAAATATTAAAAAGATGCTTCCTATGGTTTTAAAAAATATAACATTTAGAATAACATTTGGTTAAACATTTAAAACTTTGATCATCAATAGTTTTTCAAATTCTAAGTTTAAAAAGAAAAAAAAGGAATGTGTAGGTTTCCCTAACAAGTATAATCATAATGCCATAAGCATATTAAATTTTATGAACTTATTATCATACAAAATTGATGGTCAGCTTAACCGAAATGTGTTCTAATCAGATATTTATGACTGGTGTGACTAAAACAGTGAAATAAGGAAGAGAAGCAACTGCAATGTTGAATAGGTACACCAACAACAGGAAAAATATAATTCAAATGGAACATGATTAAGAAAAGTAAAAGCTGCACACAATTTATAGAAAATTCTTGATGTGAACAGGTGCCCTATCTTCCGATAGGTTCGATTTGGTGACATTAGGATATCGTTTTGAGGCTTCCGATCAGCCGATCATCACTTTGCAATCACTACACCCACAAGTCTTGCCGTTATCGACTATGCTCTCATAATCGACCTAACCACAAGGGTTATGTTTATGCAAACAATCGAAGGAATTCAGAACAACAAGGATAACACAATCTAAATTGCAGATGAATATGAAGCTCACGAAGTTGGCATTACACAAACCGATCTAAGCAAAACCCAAATCTTAACTATGATGAAGGCTATCTATTTATGAGTTACATGGGATGGTAGGTTGTCCATAACATAGGCCAACCAAGCAAGAGTCAATTATAAGGCCCAAAGTAGATTCAGACTAGAAAAAGGTACTTGACTTTTCTAAGATTCTAAACATGAGGAATTTTAACGTTGGACTAAAACCATTTGAAAGTAGACTTCATTAACTTTTCCACAAGTATGCATAGCTCAAAAAATCCTTCTGGACCAACGGCTAGGTCCATTCTATGTTGGTGCTATTAGGAGGGCTAAATCCGAATCTAAAACAAACATAACATTAGTTCTTGTCTTGTGTGGCCCAAAAGTGATATGGTGATATTGGAGTGGACTTCGGTGAGGCCATGGTTTGGTCCCCAATCAACTTTATGCAAATAAAAGCACACAAAACTCATTGTGCAATGATGTTTTTTCAAATAAATAATATGTAAATCTTACATAGAAAACATGGTTATATCCAAGCTGATGATGTCCTTATCAATACTATTTACCTTTTTTAAAAATCTAGGCTTTTTAATTTGTTTGTTAGTATTTAACACAAAATTACTAACAAAAAAGTTTGTCCATTATACAATTATTGTAGAAATTTATAGTAAGTACTTGTTCGGCTAATCCCTCTGTCATAGGTACTGAAGGGGATTTGAAGAGGTGTGCAATTAATCCTCTTCAATTCCCTCCAATATCTTCCTCATGGGGGCTTAACCACACAAGCCTTATATGACCTAGTTATTGCAAAAGTTCTATAAAGTTTCGGTGGTAGTATACACATATATAAACTAACAAGCACGGCAACTGGCTCGCTGATTTTCTAGTTTGGTAAAATTCTATTCGGAATCGGCCATTTGGGCTTTGATGTCGAATGGTGTTCCATTTGAATAAAGCTGCTTTTATTTTTATTCCAACATGCTTGTAAGGAAAAAATATTTATTAATGTACACAAAGACATCATTGATAATATTGTTAGTTATTAAACATTTACATTAGTTTATCCTAACATTTTGTTTCTCCAAAAATGGTGTTATGTTACTCCAAGAAAAACCTTTATTGTGGCACTTTTCTAAAGGAAATTTTCAATTTTCCTTTAAAATTTGGAGATTTATTGTGTAGAGACACTTTTTAGAACTTTAAAAATTGCCTAGGATACTTTTATCCTAGAGGCACTATTAGCAAATTTTGTTAGTTTTATCTACTAGAGGTATTGTATAGGCACTTAAAAATTTCCTTATGTAAAGGCATTTGCTTGGTTGCATTCCAACTTCTATAGAGGCATTTTTTAGAGGTGTACATTGAAGGTGTGAATGATTTTTTCGAGAATTGTTAAGTTCAAGGATTGGTAGAATAAGGGAATCTCTCATTTTTCATAGTGGTTTCTTATGTTTGTCACACAATTGAATGCCTCTAGAATATGCCTTTAACATCTGTTCAAAAATGACACAAAGTATACATTTTATAAAATGCCTCTATAGCCTTGTAAATACATTTAGAAAATATCCTACAATATTAGAAAAATGTGTCTACAAGTTATTTTTGTTGTAGCGTGTGTCACTGTCTTGGATTGAAGACAAAGGAGGCTAGCAGTTGGTTGTCTAGATAAGATATTGTTGAAGAAATTTTGATGATTTGATATGGATCTAATGGTTGAAATATGTTAGTTAGGGTGTGTGTGATTCACTAATTAAAGTAGTTTGCAACACTTGAGTTAGTCATATTTGATACTTGATGAAACCCGTGCTGCAGGAGTTTTGTATCATTTAAGATAGCTAGATGACAACTTTATATACTTTATACAATATTCATCTTTGATCGACTATTTAAAAAAAACTATGAACGGTAGTTTATAACAAAACTAAGGTGGTGTGGCTCAATGAGAAAGAAAAGAAGGGAGATAATATACATTTATCATCCAAAAGCAAAACTAAGTTGATAGGAGAAAAAGGAGGGAATAATTTATATATTTTTTTATCTTTGGTTGACTATTGAAAGAAAAAACCTAAACATTATAAGATGATATGGTTTATAACAAAACTAAGGTGATGCGGTGCAATGAGAAAAGAAAAATAAGGGAGATAATATAGATTTATCATCCAAAAGCAAAATTAAGGTGATATAATTTAATAACAAGAAATAAAGAGGAAAATAAATTTGGACCGTAGATCAATCATCCATGTGGCTTCATGACGAAAGAGAGAAATAGCATTAACTACACTTAGTGGGGATGAACTGGTGTTTAGTACCTAGAAACAAAATAATATTCACTTTTAGATGACTTGAGCTAAAATGAAAAGAAATACACATTAAAGGAATCAAGATACTATTTATAATATTTAGAATTTCTTATGATAGTTTTAATTTTTCTTTGTTTTTTTTAAAAAATAGATGGTTAGGACAAAAATATGTTGATGATTAGTTATGCAGATGTTTTAATATTGTGAGAACATCGTCAAATATTGTTGGTACCATCCTAATCACAATAATGTATTTTTACCAACACAAATTCAAGCCACAACAATAGTATGATACATTCATAATGAATATCTTAACCTTTGTGGACCATGGTTGCTCAAAGGAATTGACACATGCATGGGGAGGTAACATTTTAGGGTCATAAATAGAAATACTTAAAGGAATTTAATTTCTTAGTTACACAGGAAGATAAGAGTCATCTCTCTCCTAAACAATCCAATAGATATCATGAGCTACATGTGCATTTCAAGAATGATCCAATTGTTAAGGTTTAAACGGTGACGTGGGTCAATGTATGTTGATGAGCTTGCTTAGATGAATTGACACATGCATTGGGAGGTAACATTATAAGGTCATGAATAGAAATAATTAAAGGAATTTAATTCCTCAGTTACACAAGAAGATAACAGTCATCTCTCTCCTAAACAATCCAACAGATATCATGAGCTACATGTGCATATCAAGAATTAATGATACAATGGTTAAGATTTAAAGGGTGATGTGGCTTTATGTATGTTGAGCTTTTGGTCCCAACTATATAGGATATATAGATATATAATTTGTAGCTAGTGTTTTAATCATTTACTACAGGTTGGGGTTTGCCATAATTTCTTAATTTTGATCTGACTCGTCACATATTGTTTGCCTTGTTTTTTTATGAAATATTGTTTAGCTTGTTTTACCACAAGTGTGGCCACCAATTTTGGTGCCACAATCCATATATAACTTAAACATGTCGTGGTTTTGCTACAAAATTGTGGCAACTTCTGGAAGTGACCAAACAAAGCCCCAAAATTAGGCTATTTGGGGCTAATGTTCTGTTGATGGCCATACACTAACCTGTAGATTGTCATCTTGTTGGAAATGCAGGGGTACATCCAAGCCACCAATTATCGGGCGTGACGACCAGCAGCAGGAACTAGAGGCAATGCTTCTCAGCTCCGCAGGATGCCTCGCCGTAATATATGTCGTCGGCGATAGTGGTGTTGGTAAGACGATCCTTGTAAACAGTGTCTGTTCAAAACCATCTGTCAGAGAACACTTCAAAGAGCGAATTGGAGTGAAGGTCGGAAAAGATGCTGGTATATCCAACATCCTGAGTTTGATAAGCAAAGAACTGAAGAAAGAAAATAACGAAAGTGACAATGAGAATCCTAGAAGCAAGATACAAAGACGTCTTGGTGAAGAGTGCTACTTGATCATCATCGATGGCAGGCAGATGTCCATCGCTGACTGGAATGCTGTGATCCATGCTCTTCCGAAGAACGAAAGAGGTAGTCGGGTAGTGCTCATCACGAAAATAAAACCACAGTTTCTAGACCACCCAATGAATGATGTCCATGAGATAAAGCTGACATGCCTCAATCAAACGGACTGCAGGAAGCTGTTCCACATGAGGCTCCATGGCAAAGAGGAGGATGAACAAAACCAAACCTACCTGCCAATATACTACCAGCGTGTGTATGACATTACCGGGGGCTCGCCATTGGCAGTTATCCTGCTTGCTGGACTCATGCACAACAAGGAGTATCCACATGAATGGGATAGGGTGTTAAAATACCTCGAGTCAGCCAAAGAGAAGCGGCTCAACAGGATACTGTCCCTGAGCTTCGATGACCTGCACCATGAGCTCAAGCTCTGCTTCCTCTACTTCACAGCATTCCCGGTCAGCTACAAGGTGTACCAGAACGTGCTTGTCAACTTGTGGGTATCAGAGGGCTTTGTGGTGCCGCGGCACGGGAAGACGGTACAGCAACTGGGACAGCTATACCTGAGGCAGCTTACCACTAGGGGACTAGTTACTGAAGCATCAGCTGATGGTGACTACGACATCCGCCACTTTTTCCTCCATGACAGTGTCTACTTGTTTGCACGGTCAGAGGCACATGAGGCAAACTTCATGGAGCTGCATGATGGTGACTACTTCCCATCGCCGGACAGGGCTCGACGCCTCACACTACATAACAGTATGGACAGATACGCGGCACTAGATAACAAGATGCCCAAGCTACGGTCCATCTTTGCAATCTTCGAAGAGATACCAGCCAGCACAGCAGAAGAAAGTGTATCATCTCCTAGCTGCTTCCCCACCTGCTGTTCATGCGAGCAGCACAGATCACCGAAAATTTCAAGATTTGACCTCACCAAGCTGCTGAAAAGATCCAAGTTCCTACGAGTAATCATGATCGAAGGCCTGAATATCGGCACCGAGTTGCCTGAGGCAATCGGAGGCATGGTGCATCTCCGTTACCTTAGCACGCGTTGCCGATCTCTGAGGAGGATCCACCCGTCGATTGGGAATCTCAAAAATCTTCAAACAATTGATGTCAGACAAAGCTTAGTGCATGAACTGCCGTGTTCCTTTTGGAAGATCACATCGCTAAGGCATGTGTTTGGCTCTGAGCTGATCGTGCCAAGATGGACTCGTGAACTGAAACAGCTAAATACACTCAAGTCGGTGAGAGCATTGCAGGATTGGGATGGCTCTATGTTGAGAAGAATGGTTAACCTCAAGTTACTGGATGTGACTATCCAAGAGAAGCTCAAAGAGGAGAAGGCGCGCAAGTTATCAGACAACCTTAACAATCTCAACAACCTTACTACACTGATCTTGAAAGGAGTTGACCTCCCAATCTCTAGCATTTTTACGGCACCTTCCCTGCAATTCCTCAAGACTATAGAACTAACCGGAACCATCCTGCTCACAACTCCATCACCAGAAATAGACAAGATGACCACTTCACCTTCTGATTTCCAGCTGCCGAACTTGAGCAAATTGTCATTGTCAAAGACGTGTCTGCAACAAGGGTTCATTGGAAAGCTAGGCAAGCTGCCCCTTCTTTCCAATCTCACACTCAAGGATGTTTCTTGTGACGGAGAAGAGCTTGTTTTCAGGCCTGATGGGTTTCATTGCTTGAAAAAATTGGAAGTAAACGACACGTCCAAACGTGTTGTGATAGAGGAGCATGCTTTGCCTGTATTGGTCTCTTTGCATATCATTGGGAACAGTAGAAATTACCAACACTCGATCCATCCTACTCACAAGATTATCAACAAGATTAGACATGAGGACATAAATCTTTTTCAGCGTATCTGCACTTGTCATCAGAAAGAGATAACCAAAGGCTAACAAGCATATATCCTTGTAAGTTTGTCAAATTATATCGCTTTAGCTCTGTATTTTTCCATCATATGTTGTTTACATGCATGTAACAATTGGATATCCTTCTTTTTGCTAATTTCCAGTGTTAGGAAGAGTCCTTCGAAGTGAAAGTTGTACGATGTCATCGACGAAGAGTCAGTTTCCTCTTCAAAATGTCATCGACAATCATAAACCAATTCTGCAATATGACATTGCGAAAGTGATTTCCTTCTGTTTGCAATTTTTACACAATGCGCAAATTACCTGTAAGTAGACTTGTACTTCGTTTTCTTGTTTTCGTTTTTCTCAGGAGTCGGGTGTTGACGTGTTGTAGTTCGTCATTAATTTCGTTTCCTTGTGCGCGGAAATGCGACCCGCCTCCTGGATCATTCTGTACTATTGCAACTTACACAACCACTGAATAAACTCGATTAGTGATCATATGAATTGTTTGTTTGGATCTGGAGCATCTGGAAAGTTGATAGCTAGAAATATGGCATGCATGGACTACGATTTTTTTTTCGCTACTTTGTGCGTGCCTCTTCATCAGGGTTATTTTTTTCGTGGAATATTTGGGTGCGATTCCATCTTTAATACATCACCAAACATATTGAGGTCGAATATAACAAACTTGATTAAGCAATAAATTTTAATCAAATGGCTTGTTTGTTTACATGGCTCGCAAAGTTAACGGAATTAATTCATCTGCAGCCTTTCATGTGCAAAGGTATTGCGAGGTACAGACTTGCATTTATTTGCTTCCCATAGCTTATGCTCCCCCTCTCATTTTCTTGTTTCTGTTATGAGTGGCAATCCTGTTATTTGTCATATGGACTAAATGCAAACCGTGATCACCCTGGATTAGGTATGGTAGGCATCAATGCCTGATTTTTCTTTGATGTGTCTCCTTGCATTCGCTGGTAAATGAGTATTTATTAGGGTTAATTGATCCATGCCATTATAAATTCTTCAGTTTTGAGATATGCCATTACTATTCAACTATTTAAGGTCATGCCATTATAATTTTTCAAGTATTGAAAATATGCCACTACATACTCCTTTGATGTGTTTCACAAAATTTTTAGACTAAATTGCCCTCGTCGTCTTCTCTCGTTCATCTTCTACCTCCTATTTTTCCCTAAGCCAGATTTGGATCTGACGATGGGAGAAGACGACGATGAGGCCAAGGAAGAAGATGAGGGCAATTTAGTCTAAAAATTTTGTGAAACACATCGAAGGGGTATGTAGTGGCATATTTCCAATACCTAAAAAAGTATAATTGCATAACACTAAATAGTTGAATAGTAATGGTATAAATCAAAACTGAAGAATTTATAATGGCATGGATCCAATTAACCCTATTTATTATGGCACATTTTTCATGTCCATGACGTCATCAACAAGGGGAATATTATCGTAGAAGTCTAGAAACCTGGTTGAAATATAAAAGTTTTCTAGTGTGGCTTGGCATGTGTTCTAAGAGCAGTACGATAATCCTAGTCAGGAGGCTCCAAAAATTTTTATATTGTTTTTTTCATAGATGGAGGAGAGAGAATCAAAGAGAGAACAACGCAGGCCCGGCGATAGCACGCGTTTTCACGCGCACTCGCGATTAAAAACATATTTTGTGGGTCCCATGGTGACCTATCCGATCCCGTGCGCATCCTCCTTCGTTCCGCCCTCCGGTGCTTCGTCGACCGACGGACGATGTCTTCCGCAGTTCCGCTAGTGTTATTCATTGTCAGCGAGCGAGAAAACCCCACCGCCCCCACAAATCACGCAGTCTCGTCCTCCATCCTGCACCACGCACACTCATCCTCAGTTCCTCATCCTCGTCCATGAAGTCTTGGCGGCGCAATTGCTACCGACGAGAAGCATCTCATGCGTGCGCCAAATCCTGATAATTTGGGTACGTGGTGAGGTAAGTAGCGGTGACCGTCCCTCGTCTTGTGCTGTCGCATAATCTGATCACTGATCATTCATGAAGACCCGGTGGGATCGATGTATGGATGGAGCTAATCCATCGCGAGCTTGCTTTGTTGTGTTCACCCTCATATCACAACAATGACCACAAGAATAGGATCCACTTATGATCATACATGTCAATACCTGTATGCACAATTAATTGTTTGATTACAAAATTATAGTCAGCACAATAGCTAATCTATTGTAATAGTTGGCTTTAGTAGTAACTACGAAATAATATAAGAATGGTTGGAGCCAGCAGCCGGCTAACTATTGACCTTGCTCTAAGCGCCGGTCGACCGGCAGTTTCCATGCTTGATATATATAATAGTTGTATGCAATATTATATGACGCAGAGACTGTGACTTTTATATTATTATTGTTATCTTAAAAATGTGTAACCCATAGAAGAGGAAGTGCTGCCTTCCTAGTTTGCATGCTCTGTTTCTCGTCTTTAATTTGCTTTCATGCATGACAACATGTTCTAACTATCAACTACACACTGTAGGCAGTTGATGACATGTAAAAGTCCCTGCAGTTGCTGACATATATATCCTCACTTGATTCTCATTCCCTATTACATTTGAATTAAGAGTGCTCTGTGCTCATACTGGGTTTCTTCCTGGGAGCAAAACAATACAAATACCTGGGCATCGACCACCCCAGCGCAAACCCATCACAATTATACCCCCCACCTCTGTATTTAAAATGATTTGGTTTGCGCCTCGGTGGACTGAGCCTTGTCAGTTGTCACTTTGGTCCTGTTTGGAAGATTAGCCCAGGGCTAATTTTGAGAGCTAATATTTAGTCTTGAATTGGTAGGCTAATGTAGGGTGACATGTTTGGATCCTTAGACTAATTTGGGGCTAAAAGGTGGAAAGAGAGAAGAGAGAGGGAGATAGGGCTGCTTTTTGATGGTCTCCATAGAAAATTAGCTCCATTAGCACCCCTTGGAGGGGCTAATGTTTTGAGGGGGGCTAATTCACTTTAGCTCCAAACTAGCCCACCTGTTTAGATCCTTTAGGGCTAATTCAGGGCTAATAATTAGCCCATGGAACCAAACAGGACCTTTGTCAGCCTCATAAAAATATATAGTACAAAAAAACGAAATTTCTAAACAACAATTGACTACAATAAGAGAATTGTTCACTCAATTTTTTTGAACAGCAATCCAACAATGACGTAGTCGATTTTTTTCCTCTATTATAAGAAATAAAAACCTGACGGAAATAATGAACTAAAACAGCTGAGTTTCCCTTCATGCATGGAACTTAATACATATTATGGGTCAACTTGTCATTGGTCAAAAATCGACTGATGTTCGAGATGAAATAAAAATAGCCGAGTAACATCTAAATGCTCCAACAACATTTTTTTTTTGACAAGAGCTCCCACAACATTTTAGAAAAAGAGCGAGAGAAGAAATGCACATATGTTAGAAAAAACAATAAAGTTGTATCATGAAGACAAAATATAAATGCATGTGCTAATTTCCTGTAATCCGAAACAAACTCAGAAGACCGAAAGTGTCCAAGGAAAAACAGTATGCATTTCAAGTAACGAATATCTTGCCTAGCAGATCCACATATGATGATATGCAAACACCATGTTCTATTTAATTATCGTAACATCAACCTAGAGGACTATAATTCCCCTAAGTAAACTGCTCCAGATTCCTAGACAGTCAAGAATGACAGCACAGTCCAGGGGTCCTTGATTAGAAACACGAAAAACACTTCAGCTTGAATTAAAAGAGAAATTGATATAACCGCATTGCAGCATACTAGTGGATGGGAAATCTGGAGAAACATTGTTCATAATTTCATATAGACAGGAACTTAAAACACCCCCACAACCAAGAGTGCGAAAGCAACTAAAAATCCACTTGTTCACATAGGTACATGAAAACAAATTAAGTATGCATAAGTTTTTCTACTATAAAAATCAGTGCTTCATACATTAAGACTCAGTAGGATCGGGGTTGATATGCAGCAGTTCATTCAGGAGGAAATAACCATGTCGAATTCATCAGTCTTCCATCTGGTGTCTAAATTTTGTCCTCTGACATGTCTGCAGTAATTGGTGTCATTGTACCATCTTTCATGTTGTACACAGATTTATCAAAAGAGCGGTCATGCATAAAATAGATAAGATAATCTTTGACTACATCATAATGAGATAAACGAAAAGACTTGCTGCTGAGTTGGCTGATAAAGTTGCAGTCGCCATCCAAGCTCTTGATCTCAGTGAATGTGGCAGGGTTTGTGCTGCAGTCCACCTCATATACTCTAATCTCAATAATGTTGTGCCCAAATTCACCAAAGTATGTCACAACTATCAGTAGTTTCCCGCGCCACTCTACTATGCTCCAAGTCTCATTAGCGGTACCCATGACCCCAGGCAGTTTGATCACACAAGACTCAACACGAGAAACCATCAAGCCATTGTCATCTTCACAGATCTCAAAGACTAAGAGGTTAGTGGTGAATTTGCCGAAACTGAGCATGTGGAGGTTCCCTTGGCATGGCAGAAGACAATATCAATGGACCTAATGATAGTATCACCATCACACACGCTCCACGACTTCATCCCAGGCCGCCAGAGAGCAAGCTTAACTGCATCCTTGACCATGGAGGTGGCGGCCACAACACACTTGGAGCCAGAGTCAGGCGACGAGGACAAGACGACCTTCCAGAACAACATCACGCACTTCGCTGCGTTGATCGTGCAATGCAAGACACCAGAGCCATTGATGATGGGGAGAGACCTAGTGTAGGCATCAGCGGAGCGGGAGGCTCCCGAAGGTAGCGGGAGTCGGATAACATCCCGGGAGAAACTGTTCATCAAGAAACGCCGGCGGTCACCGAAGTAGCGACCTTTGTTGGCCTTGACGCCAACGAGCCATCCCTCGAACGAGCCCACGCAGCAGACGCTGCCACCAGCCGCCATCTCCCTCTCCCTCTCCGGCAGCGGGACACGGCCACGCACTCCCATGATGGTCTCTCCTGCGCAGAAGCTGGAGAAGGAGAAGTCGGCCATCACGAGCAGGGGCAGCGGCGGCGGCGACCGCTGGTGGAGGACGCGCCACGCGCGGCAGACGGAGCGCAGCCTGGCCCGGTCCTCGACGAGGGGGAGGCAGCCGACAACGAGGCCGAGGATGTCCGCCGGGAGGTCCGCCCACGGCCGGCCTCGCGCGTCGTCGAGCCATGGCGCCTCAGAAGCCAGGACGCATTCCGTCGAACACCTTGCCTACGCCACCGCTGTCAGCGGCCGCGACACCTCGACGCCATCCTCACTGACGCGGACAGGCAGGGGCGCGTTCGGGCTCTGATCAGCCGGGGTTCCTGTCGCGGCGTCCATGGCCGCCGGACAGTGTTGTGGCGCCAGGGGCTACTCTCGCCTCGGGGAGAACAGCGCCTGGAGCTCTCACGTACGGGGTCGGCACGGAGGCGGCGGCGGCGTCGATCAGCTTGGCGAGGTGCCTATCTCCATCGAGCAGCCGCTCGCATCGCGCGGGAGGAATGAGGGCATGAGGGCGGCGTCGCTCAGGGGAATCGCGCAGTCGCGTCGCACCTCGCGGAGTCGAGTCGCGGTCGTTGCAGCGGCAATCAGGATTCGGCTACTTTACTATAGGACTTACAGATTTATATATGAATATATGTCAAATATAAAAATTAGGATCGTTTTATATTAAGATATTATAAGAGTTATATAAGAAATAATTATTTAGCATGTTTATATGTTATAATTTGTAGATGGTATCCCAGTTTAGTAGTCTTTCTAGCATAGAAATGACAAAATATAGTGTTGTAAAAATGACCAATGTGCCTTTATGTTAATCATTTCAATGCTTAAAATTTGACACAAAACTAGTATTACGCCTACCATTACATGTCTGCAACAAACATGGAGAAAAAAATTAATAAAACTATTCATGCTAGTGGCTCACCTACTAGCTGCCCACGACATGGACAATGACTTAAATTCCCAGCGACAAGTAAACAGGGATGGAGGGAGTAGTCTAGTTGCAATTAAGTTTTACTACGTACTAATAATTATCATGCTAGTATATGTTAAGTTTTTGTGTGTTAGTAGGTTGATGTGCCATGCTTGCATACTAATAATTGCGATGCTTACATTTTGTTTAATGTGTGGTAGTAATGGGTTTTGCTCATGTGTTGTGATGAGCTATACTTGCATCCAGCCCCATGGGTGAGTTTTTAGTTCCCATCTCCGATCCGCTTAAGGTTGTTTTAGTTGCTTATCTCCTTAGACCCAGCTCTCTTCTTCAACTCCAAATTTCAACATCCTCATTTTTCGTAAGTACGTTTTTTAAATTGTTAAATGATACGTATTTTGCAGCAAATTTCTATATAGAATTTGTTTTTTCAAGTTTATAATAATTAATACTTAATTAATTATGTGCTAATAGGCTTTGCGTTTCGCGTGAGCTGTAAATCTTCCTCTACCGCTATGCAAAGAACGCAGCCTTAGTCTAGCCCATCTTTTTCGTCCAGGCTGAGGTTGGGCACGATAAGGAGATATGTTTGGTTCCTTGTGCTCCCTCTATTCTAAGATATAAAATACAATCATTTTTTATGTGTCATAATATAAACGTATATGCATCTATATATTTACCATCAAGCACCTCAATTATATTGCACGCATTCATCGATATGATCTAACCGATAAGGTGATTAAATTATTTATTTGTATTCATGTTGGTAGTGTTTATGCCTTATATTTTAGAATGAAAGGAGTATTGGTTTAGCGTGACTAGTATGAGATTTTGTTTGATTACTTACATATGAGATACACATATGAGATACGGTTTGAAATATATTTTGTTTGATTGATTGTATGGATTTGAATGTACTAGTTAGGTGATATCACCTCTAACAAAAAAAAAATCAGATTTAACTATAACGTGATAGTTAGGTGATATCACCTCTAAAAAAAATCAGATTTAACTATCACGTGCAAAGAACAATAATATATATTGGTGTTCAGGATCGGTGAAAAAAAAAAGAAATTAGCACAAATATGATCGGTCTATAGTAACTATCCTTAGAGGACTGTTTTCTTTTGCCTCTGAACAGTCAAGCTTACAAGGAGTATCTCAAATTGGAACATGAGGTCTCTCTTCTCAATTTGGACGAGGGCAAGGGAGATGAATGGAGCTACATATGGAATTCTACTAGATATACTGCTAAGAGATTTTACAAGCTTATATTCATGTCTTTGCAGACGCCAAGGCCTTATGTTTGGATTTGGAAAACACGTAGTGTTATGAAAATTAAGGTCTTTGCATGACTTCTTTTTAGCGACAGGTTGAACACTAGAGATATGCTTAATCATCGGCATTGTGCAAAGGAGGATGATGATCTTACATGTGTACTTCGTACAAATGGTCATAGGGAAATAAGAGGACATCTTTTCTTCTTTTGTCCTTTCAGTCAGAGATGTTGACGGCACCTAGGCATTCTTTGGGATCCTAATCTCAATTTCTTTCAAATGGTTGTGGTAGCGTGACTGCGTTTCCGGCAAAAGGGCTTCTTGGAAATTTCTTTATTGCTGCCCGGCATATTTAGAAAGAAAGAAATGGAAAGATATTTCAGAACAAGAATTCTTCCTTTGAGGCCTGGAGAATTTTGTTCAAGAAAGAAGGTCTTCTGCATATGTGCGGAATGAAAGATCATTTAAAGTAAAGAGTTTTTGATTGGTTATAACCATTATAATATTTTCAGTGCTCTCTTTGTAATTATCTTTTGTAAATACTTTTCCTTTTAATGAAAATCACACTGCGAGACAAAGTTCTAGCAGTAATTTAAATTAAAAAAAACTATCCTATAGTTGTCATACCACTAAGCCAATTGTGTCACTGTTATCCAAACCTTACTAACAAAAACTGCATGAACTACCACGCATGACCGTGCAAATAGAGGTTTCTTCGGTTTCAGGAGAAGGCTTGGTTTTTATTTTGAACCGCTTATGTGTTCGGTTTATATCTCACATAAACTGAACTTCCGATAAAACCGGAGACGTTGTTCTTGTGGATGGAGCATGCAACATTTCGCATCTTGTCGCGTACTATAGCTGATGCTAGCTGCACTTAAAGGATGCGCGGCCGCATTTTGGTGGAGCGCCCGGTACATTCACAAGCCCATTGTGTATATAATATCCTTATGAGGTCTATGCTGACAACGGCCTAACAACCCAACACGTAAAACCACATCTTTGTGTTGGAATTAATATGTGGGTTAAGACCTATATGGAGATTAATTTTTGAAATCACCAAAGCCCACTGTTTGAGAAACAAGAACTGGGGTCCTCATTCCTCCGAGGCCCTAGGACACTGTGGGCCCACAAGATCACTTTCTCTTACATATAGAGGTCAGAAACCACGGAAGTGGAAAATGACAAATGGTGTGGAGCAGGAACCAAGGCCCCTATAGAACTGGGGCTGGGGGTATCGACGCCCTATAAGGTTTACATCTACAAAGTCTCAAGAAGAGTATTGAGACATACAAGATCGACATATTCAAGGTACTGGAGTAGATGCATCTGGATATTGGCATATCGTCCAAGGTCATGTCCATCATGAACTCCTTCATCAATGAAATCCTCGAGAAACATGTCAAAGTTAACAAGACATCTCATCAAGCAGCATGGGAGTGTGCAAGGCCCCAGGAGTACATGTGGGCCCTAGGCGCGGATCGTGCTCCGGGAGTACAGTCTGCCCTGGGGATACAGCGGTTCATGGCACAGATATTGCCACAAAGTAAGACTTAGGCGTATCATTATCATCTTAAAAGGCGAGCTTTGGCGGTGCTTGTTGCTTGGGCGCTCAACCTGAGGACTCCGTTGGCAACGCTCGCTGCCCCGGGCTTAGCCTAGCCCAGGATCTCCTCCCAGCGTTCTACGCAGGGTGGTGGGCCCGGTGATTGGACGGCGAGCGATGGCATTAAGCCGTAGCAGAGCAACATCCAGAGAATTACAACTTGAGATTACAGGTCAATTACATGCAAGAAGGAGGTGGAAAGACATGAAGTAATCAAGCTAGCCACGTCACCCAAAGGAACAAGGGCATAGTGACATGTACATGACTTTGCCGTGAAGTAATAAGGTGGGCGGCCAATCCACCATGCCCTCATCTGGGCCCACCATGCTCGGTTTCAGAATAGGTGGTGCAAGAAGCCTTCTCTAGCTATCCTAGGCCCCTTGCTAAGCCTTTTCGGGGCACAAAGCGTAGCCCCGATCAACAGCAATGATCACGTTCAAACTAATGTGACAGGGGAACGATGACAAGACCAAGCATAGTGCCATAGTCACTTCCCCGTGCAAGAATGTAATTGTAGGCTCCCCTTAGGGTATAAAAGGAGGAGTCAGGTTACTTTGAAGAGGATTGGATGTTTGAAAGAACTAAGCTTGAATAGAACTTTGTATCACATTCATCACACAAAGTCCCAAACACGAGAATATGTTGTTACGCTTCCAAGTGGTCCGAACCTATATATTTGATTGTGTTCTTTGTTTACCGCACGAACAAGCTCGATCTAAACTCACCCCCCGGCTGAATATCTCAACAGGGAGTACTTGTTCCCAGCTAGAGGAGATCCACTCTTTGACACCCTCCTCATGGGAAGGCATGCTTATGAACCTTCAATACCACCTTTGCTTATTCTAAAAGATTGAGACCTCCTTAAATAGGAGAGTGCTCTCCTAGCCACTTGAGACATGTATAATGGAGAGAACTAGAGGGACACACATGCACTTGCTTGCCTCGCCAGGCTCGGCACGGGCCAGATCGGACGCGGAGGGCTCCTCATGCTTGTGCAAACGTGGTTTCCTTTTGCTGTAGAATTCAGTTTGGTTTTTGGAAACACATCGAATAATTTGATGCATGGAGCGGCGTGGAGTTTGGATAAGATATGCGCGATTTATCCAGTTTGATTACGCCATGTGGAGATCTTGCAAGTGTCCTGATCACGCGTTCTGATATCTCTATATAAACCGTCCGCCGCCGCCTCACAACATACACAAAATTAATCTAGGGTTTGCCTCCTCCTCTGTACCGTGCCGTCACTCGTAGTCTACTCCGTCTTGCTTGTCGGCATGCACTGGCGATCGGGAGAGCAGATCTCCAGAACCTTTGCCCTCAACGTCCTGCACTGAGAGAAGGCGACAATAAGGTTTTTGGCAAGTGCTTCACGCGACGGCTTGCTGGTCTTCCACGATGGCTCATCTTCCTCTACGCTTGAGGGTTGCGCGATGATGACAACACCCAGCACCACGCGTTGTTCCTATGATGCGTGCTACTCTTTGTCAATCCGATCCACAGCAGAAGCAAAACCCTCGGTACGTGTTCACCATATTCCATTTATTTGACCTGTTCATGATTTACAGCCTGGTTTACATATATGTATCACATGATGTGGTTGTACTAGTTTACATGCTTCATATCATTTGATGGAATATGGTGATACATGATATTAAATCAATATGCTTATAGTTCAATATAAGCATATATTGATTTAATATCATGTATCAATGTATGCTTATATTTTCAAAACTTTGTAGAGTACTCCGCCGGTTTCTTCGGTAGAAACCGACACCGAACCCAAATAGTGTGGTTTTCCTTGGCTTGGCTTCCTAATTTGTTACTAATGAAATCGGTTAGTGTTTATAAAAAGCCGAACATGCACAAAATAGTACAAATCGAAACGAATAAACCAAACAATCATTCCTAATTCCGACAACTTGCTCTGTAGCAGCAATGGAGGGAGGAGGGTGGGTGGTGCCAACACGTCAGGCTGAATTGTTATTTCCGTGCTACTCTCTCTGTCCCATAAAAAATAAATCTAGAATATGATGTGATTCTAGGTTCAGATTCATAGTAATGTATCACATCTTGCTCTATGTTTGTTTTTTTTCGGACGGATGGATTATTTGGGAGTGACGCTGGCAAAAAAAAAACACCAAAGTTCATATATAAGCCCGGTCCACATCGCTTAAAAAGAATTAGTATTCCCTCCCATCATTAATATATGACGTTAGTGTAAAAACCGTCATATAATGACCAAAATAGAATTAGTACCATATGTTCGTGAATGAATCTGCCGTGCAATGCAACGACACGCGGTCCACTTGTATTGCACAGCCCGTCCCCGCGGCCCGCGGTGATGGATGATGGTCTATTGGTCTGGTCCCCAAGCCCCGCGTCCCCAACGCGTTCTTCGTCCGGTTCGCCGTCCCCCGTCACGCATTCATTCCCACTCCCAATAATCATCCTCCCTGTTTCTCTTTTATAAAAAAAATAATAATAATCATCCTCCGCTCCGCGACGCTCGCGCCCACGGGGAAGCCAAACCCAGCCACTTTCCCCGTCTCCTTCCTCCCCTACTCCGGCGCCCTCCCCTCCTTATCCATCCGCACCCACCTCCTCCATCCTGCTATAAACCAACCCCAAGATTTGTCACCCTCCGGTAGGTAGTACCACTCCAATCCCAATCCAAGCCTGAATCCTCTTTTGATGTGATGGCAGTGGAGCGCGGCGAGCGCCGTGGCGGCGGCATTGGGTGCCTCTCCTGCTGCTTCGGCGGCGGGGACGGGGACGGGGAAGGAGAGGAGCTGGGGCAGCGCGCGGCGAGGGCGCTGCGGACGTCGTCGCGGTGGGTGCGGGACCGCGCCGTGGAGCTGCCGGAGATGGTGGCGCTGGCCGGGGGGCGGCGGAGGAAGCCGCATCTGCAGCATCATCAGCAGCAGCAGCTGGCCGGGGAGTTCCGCTACGACCCCGTCAGCTACGCGCTCAACTTCGAGGAGGACGGCGACGGCGAGGCCCAGCCGTTCAAGTACATGGCCTTCTCCGCGCGGCTGCCGGCGTCCCCGCCGCCGCCGCCGCCGCCGACGGCGCTGCCCGTCGACCGGGGTTCTTGAATTGATTGTTAGGCCGTTCGGATGTACATACGTACGGGAGATTAAAGTTTGGGTTTCTTTCTCTTTTTTTTTTGTTGTTTGATTCCTTCGATTTTTGTTGGCGACTACGAGCGCTGATATGTGTACAGGAGGATTTGAATCGTTTCTTCTTTTGGTTTTTTTAAGCAGAGATTTCCTTTTCTATTACAAGTTATCTTGGCTCTGAAGAACGTTGTTTTTTTGTTTTAGTGCTAGTATATGCTTCTGAGAAGAATGTTGTTTATTGGGGTAGCAAAATCTCAAGCCATTGCCTTGTTCTTTGAAAATACTAAGTTATCCATGTGTTATATTGCCAGCACCTGGACCAATAGATTCGGTAGATTCATATTTAAAAGAGTTTTAGTATCTAACATATGTTCACATGCTTCAGCTGTCAGAATCACACAACCTACTGCAACTGAAACTACAGAGTACAGACTACAGTTTGTATACAGATTTAAACTACAGGTTGTATACAGATTTAAAGAAGGCTTTAAAGAATCACAGCATACGGTTAGATGACAAACAAACCATTAGCACATGATTAATTAAATATAATTATTAAAAAATATATGTTTCTTTGATTTTAAAATAAATTTTATATAATATATTAAAAAATACAGTTTAATGGTTTAAAAAACATAATGTAAACGAAAAGGTTGCAAAACCCAGACTCTAACGAACTCGGCTCATGTCATCCCAGCTCTAAAGTAGGCAAAAGAAGCCCAACCCACAGCTCACTAGCCCAGAAGCAATCAGAATAGAAGGGTCACTCAACATTATTTATGTTTGGAAAAAGTATACTTTGGCTCCCTCAACTATCGCCCGAGTACGACTCATGTCCTCCAACCACAAAACCGGGTATATCGATTCCTCCAACTATTAAAACTGGTGCAGACAATATCCCTCGGTGGTTTTCGAGGTGGTCCTACATGGCGGTCTTGACCAAGTCTTTGTCCTACGTGGCTCTTACTTGGCATTAGAATAAAAACAAAAAAAAAATGTGGGACCCATATATCATTCACACAAAAAAAAAAATGTGGGACCCACATGTCATCCTCCCTCTCCTTCCCTACTTCCTCCCCCTCTCTCCCTTCTCTCTCTCCCCCTGTCCTTTCTCTTGGCCGGAGCGGCTGCGGGGATGGCAGTGGCGAGCGGCGGCGGCGGCGGTCGGGACGATGGCGGTGGGAGCGGCGGCGGCGGTGATGGGAATGAGGATGGCGGCAACCAAGGAGTGCGACGTAGCGGCAGCGTCACTGGCCGAGTTCCACGCGTCGCCCGCCGGTGTCTGCGGCCTCGTCGAGTCTGGCGCCACCGCCGTGCCACCGTCGTGCCACCGCTCTTCCTTTCGCCAGGCTACGGCCGTGCGCGCTCGCCGCCACCTCCACCGCTGCGACCGACGGCCTTCGACAGCAGCGGCGGCGGCTGTTGGATGGGGATGGTGGAGTAGGTGACGCCTCCTACGGGTGCTAGCGAGTAACACAGCGAGCGGGAGGCGATGGGCTGCTCGTGGAACGCCCGCATGGCGGCGACGGAGGAGGCGACGGTGTCGTGCGGGTCACCGTGGCTAGTGAGATGAAAGAAGCCGCACGAGCATGCAGCGACGCGGACGACCGGGACGGTGGCCGAGCACGGGAGGGAGGGGTCCACAGTCGGGATGGCGAAGGCCATTGGTCGCGGCGGCGGAGGTGACGGCGAGCGCTCGTGACCGTAGCCTGGAGGGAGGAAGAGCGGTGGCATGGCGGTGGCGCCAGACTCAACGAGGCCACGGACACCGGCGGGCGGTGCATGGCACTCGGCAAGTGACGCCACCGCGGCGTTGCACTCCTCGGCTGGCACCACCCTCGTCCCCACCGGCACCGCCGCCACCGCCGCCGCTCCCCACTACCATCCTCGCCGCCACTCCGGCCAAGAGAAAGGCAGGGGGGAGAGAGAGAGAAGGGAGAGGAGGGGAGGAAGAAGGGAAGGAGAGGGAGGATGACATGTGGGACCCACATGTTAGTGGGTCCCACAATACTTTTTTTTGTGTGAATGATATATGGGGTCCCACATTTTTTTTATTTTTGTTTTTATTCTAATTCCACGTAAGCGCCACATAGGACAAAGACTTGGTCAAGACCGCCACATAGGCGCCACGTAAGCCAAAACCACCTCCAAAACCACCTAGGGATATTGTCTGCACCGGTTTTGATAATTGGAGGAGTCGATATACCCGGTTTTGTAGTTGGAGGACATGAATCATACTCGGGCGATAGTTGAGGGAGTCAAATTATACTTTTTCCTTTATGTTTTGAAATGACAAAAAGTTTAATTTGGCTCCCGATCGAGTTTGAATAGCATCCCACAACCGCTAAACCACAAACGAGGTCCCAAGATGGTTTGGATGGCGGTTTCGGTTAACGTGGTTGGATTGACTTGATCCTCATCCCACTTAATCTAATACATGATCGAGTGGATGATTAAGCAATTTAAAAGATGGCACATATCTAGCCTTAAACTTAATCGATATCATGAGGCAAATGGTTTCGTACACAAATACACTAAGGTTTGTGATCCCTAACTCGCATGGTTCCTAGTCTACGTAGAAAATTTTTATTTCATGCTATCGTAGCCTACCCGTATCCCTTCATCACCCTCTCTCCCTCTCTATCCCCTTTGGACGGTGGCGGATGTCGAGGTTGAGCATCGTCACCATCTTCCTCCAACATGACCCCTCCCTTTTCCTTGGCCATGCACGGTAGTGGTGGTGGCCGGTGGGGGGCGGAGGGGTCTAAAGGCCAGCGAGACGGTGCCTCTTCCCCTTCTCCCCTACCTCCCCGGATGCGGCCATCGGCGCCTCCTTCCCCTCCCTTCGGCGCTAGATGTCGAGCTCGTGTTTCGTCACCGTCTTCCTCTAGCGCAACCCCTCCCTCTCCCTTGGCTGCGCACGGTTGTGGTGGTTGCCTGCGGTGGCGGAGGGTGTAGAGGCCAGTGGCATGGAGGCAAAGCTAATGGATGTCCCGGTTTTACCGTTGTGGGACCCGATTCAATCAACCTCAATCATTAGATAAGAGAACTAAAGTGAACTTTTTCTTTTAAAATCGCTATCAAACGGATGGCCCCCGGGCCCTGAACATAAAAGAAAAATGTCAATCCCATTTATTCTAAGCCAGAATCTTAACTATGACAAGTTTGGTTTTAAAATGGAACATGTTGCTTGATGATGGTCCTCTAGAATATTCACGGTAAAGAAGTGCTCGACCTGTCCTCGACAGCAGTTAAAAGGAACGCAAAATATAAATTCAAATAAACAAAACAGAAAAATAAATAACAAAACCACGTGCACCTCTATTGGGGTGCGGCTTCCTCCTAGTTAGAATGAATATTCAACTCAGGCGGGGTGAACGAAACAATTGCTCAAGGATTAAAGACATCGGCAAACATTGATATACATATGCCGTTGTTGATGCCAATGATGACAGCAGTGCCTCAAATATTTTATGGACGTATTCAGCTTGGTGGGCAACCACATCAGTATGAAGAACTACATCAATATTGGCCAGAAGAACCTCATCAGTATACGCATGGTGAAGGGTATCATTGTATGCAAGGAACAATGTCGCATCACTATAACATGGACAATGTAAGGAATAATGAGTGGGCCGATAGAGATGATGAGAGAACAGTTTGGGATCGATCAAACCTATATGTATCAATGCCCATATCCTAAGTAGTTTGATAGGGTTCCAGATTTCTCTAAATTTTTAGGACAAGACAATATACCAACAATTGAGCATTTCAGTCGATTTTTAGCTTAGTGCGGAGAAGCATCAGCTGGTGAAGCTTTGAAAGTTAGATTCTTTCCATTGTTATTGTTTGGATCGGCTTTTATATGGTTTCATCATTACCTTCAAATTCTATCAAAAGATGGGCCGATCTAGAAAAGCAGCTTCATAAGTATTTCTTTGCTGGAATCAATGAGATGAAACTCACATATTTGGCATTGCTTAAGCAACAAGTAGATGAATCGGTTTTGGAATATATTCAAAGATTTTGTGATGTTCGCGGTCGATGCTATAGTTTGAGCTTAAGTGATGCACAATTAGCAGAATTGGTATTTCAAGGATTGTCAACACCTATCAAAGAAAGATTTTTCCATTCAAGAGTTTGAAAGTTTAGCTCATCTGATGTAGAAGGTATCAACTCATGAAAACCGATTGCAAGAGGCAAAAGATGAATAAATTTTGAAGTCATAAAGATCAGGAAGAAGATAGTTTTGTAGTATGAGTTCTCATACTCAAAAATTAGGAGGCATGTGTTAACACCAAAATTTGGTACGGTTCTTTAGTGGATTCAATTAAGGAAACAAATTGATTTATCGATGGAAGTTTATCCAGATCATGCGAGGTCAAGGAGGAATCGTGAAGACTACAACAAAGGCAGTTTCATATTTTTAGTATATCTCTTAAATATGTAGGTTTAGTTATTTTCCTTTTCTTGTTAGGAAATTTTATACCGTGTCTAATAAAAAGTTGTATCAATCTGAGATTATAAATATGTACACCCGAAGTCTTTGTAAGACATCTTCACATATCAATACAATTCCTTTTGGTGCATTGTGTCACACCCTGAAGTTCTTTCCCAAGCCTAAATTGAATTTATAATCCACCAGAGAAAATATCGGTGTAAAAGCAAGAGAAAACCCTAATAAAATAATGCAAATAATAATCGGATTTGGCATGTGGAATTTTTCTTGAGTTCTACATGTCGAAATATGCTAACAAGATTTTTAGTGGAATTTTCAGAGCTCTAGAAATAATTTTAACCAATTAAAATTGAGCACAAGCAATATTTAATCCCAGGAAAATCCATTTTCCTTCTTTTCCCTTTTTCTTTTCTCTTTTTCTTTCAATTGGGCCGCCGGCCCATTCTCTCTTCCCCCCCTTCTTCCCGCTGGGCCGGCCGACAGTCCGAGGCCCAGCCGAGCCGGCCACCTCCCTCCTCTCCCTGGGGTCGCCGACAGGTGGGGCCCACCTATCAGGCCCGTCCCCTTCCTCCAGCCGGCGCCGCCGCGCCCCTCAACCGCTGCCGCACCCACGTTCCCGCCTCCTCTGGGCCACGTCGGCCACGCCGCGCATGCGCTGCGTCCCCCGCACCCACTCCCCCTCCCTCTCGCCCGCGCCGCGCCCGAGACGGCCGGGATTCGATTTCGAATCCCGCCTCTCTCTCCTCCCCCACTCCCCCACGTCGGCCGGCGATTCCCACCTTTACCGGCCACGTCTGGGCTCCCCCTCCTCTATTTAAGCTCCACCGCCACCCCCTCTCTCTTTTTCCCCATCTCGCCGAGCCCTCCCGTGCCCTCTAACGCCCTAGCGCCGTCACCCTCCTCTTCGCCGCCGCCGCCACCGCTCCGGTCGCCGCTAGCCGCCGCGCCGAGCCGCGCCGACGACGCCGCCGCGTTCGCCGTCGTGCGAGCCACCCCGTCCACCCCTCTTCCGTTGGATCCCGCCGCCGGAACCCACTCCGCGCCGTTCGCCGGTGAGCATCGCCATGGCCGCCGCCTTCGGCCGGCATCCTCGCCCTCTTCCAATTCCCTCTCCCTCTCTAACCCCTTCCACCGTGTTCGCTAGGTGGTTCCGGAGATAATCCCGCCGTCGCCGCCGTCCTCCGTCGCTCGCCGTCGTCGGTCGTCGTCGGTGAGATCCCTCCTCCCCTTCCTCTCTCTCTCTCTCCCGCGCCGCTAGCCGCCGCGCCGCCGCTTAGCTGCTTGGCCGCCGCTTCGTCGCCCGCGTCGTCGCGACGCCGTCGCCCTCCACCGCCGGTCGCCGCCTTGCGTCGCCGCTGCACGCGCGCCATGCCGCCGCGCGCCATGGCCGCTGGGCCGGCTTGAGCCGTGCCCGCGCGCGCCGGCCGCGAGCCACGCTCGCCGTCCGATCTACCGGATGAGCTGTCCGTTCGGCCGCCCACGTGGCTGCCGTGTGGCCGCCGCGTCGGCGCCACGTCAGCGCCACGTGGTGCGCCGTCCTTTCCCCAGTCCGTGGACTCGGTCCACCGCGGCCGCCACCCGTGTCACTGCCATGTGGGGCCTGCATGTCGGCGCCGCCCTCTCTCTCTCTCCCCGGGATTTATTTATTGCGCAATAAATCAATTAAGGATTTTTCCGTTTATAGTAAAAACACAGTAAATCTTCTAAAATTCATAACTAAATCATCCGAGCTCCGTTGAAGCCCATTCAAGTCTCAGTAAATCAAGAAAAATGTGTAGAATCCATCAAAAATGGTTTTGTTCTCTGTTTCAGTAGTCATATAGCCTGTTTGTATTGTTTACTTTGTATGTCACTTAGATTCCGTCTCTCCCGACGCTCCGGTGTACCTTGAAATAGTCGCCGAAGTTCCTCCAGCTGCAGAGCAAGGCAAGTCATGCTTGTCACTTGAACATGTTGACCCTATATTGCAAATGCTCCATTGTTTTCCTTCAAATACTGCATTGTTTTATAATAACACTATGGGATGTTTACCTAGTGTCATAGCCATGCTGTCTTGTACCATGTTCCTTTGTTAGCTTGGGATATAACATGACTAGAGATTGGACTAGGGAATGCTTAGTTTTGCTTAGTTCAACTAGCACACAATGGGGAACTACATTAAATGCATAGATATCAGATTCTAGGATTGATGTTGGTTATTGCTCACCGCTCCGGTGTTGGCTAATTAATTAATATTAAATGGTGGGCCGTGGGTGCATGGTTTTGATGGTCGCGCCTAGGGCAATTAAGGACTGCTTCGCGGGAAACCCTGGAAGAATTCCTCGTATTTACCATAAGCCAGCGTGGGCAATGACTGGGCTTGTAGTGTAGCTTTCCTCTAGCCGACGCATCCAGGCAAGGGTGGGCGTGATGGAGTTTGGATGGGCCCTGCGATGGCCTATGCGGCTTCCGGATTCACCTAGGCATGAGAGGGGACTGCCCGCTGCCTTGCGAGGAGTGGGGGTGAAACCTGAGGTGTGGTGTGCTTGGTTAGAGGGGGTTATGCGAAGGGTCCTGTCACGGCCTCTTTCCGGTATGTCGTGGTGGCATGTCGGCCCACGGAAACGTGTCGTGGGGCTGTGTCTTGTGGGTACAGTTGTACACCTCTGATCAGAGTAAAACTATTCGAATAGCCGTGCCCGCGGTTATGGGCGGTCAACCAGATTCACCGTGATTAGACTCACCCTAGACTAGTCTAATGGAATTGAATAGTATAGGTGGATGGTTAGGCCTGTTGCAACGTGGTATAGCGTTGGACAGTGGATGATTAATATTGATTAATTATTACAACTATTTTACTGCTTTCAACTTCTGTTTATAAATGCCCGCTTTATGCAAACGAACCATTATAGCTATCCCTTGATAATTCCCTGCATCATACCCCTATTCCGGTATGACTTGTTGAGTATAGTGGGTAGTACTCAGTCTTGCTCTATTTTCCCCAAACCCCAGAATTTGAGTATGCGTCAGATGGTGGTTTCTCCGAGGAGTAGGCTTCGTCCGTGCCATCGAGGATGCCTGTGGAGTGGTGTTCCCGCTGCAGTCCAAGTCAAGGCTTAGCTCCAGTTATCCTTTAAGTTTTCCGCTGCATTTATGTAAGACTTTTATAATGTTTGTAAGACGTGGATCTGTATGTCAACTTTGTCGTTTGTGTACCCCGGCCGGTCCTGGACGGGGATTTTAATGCACATTCTGCTTGGAATTTTATTCGGGAATTTCTGGGTGTGACACATTGCCACATTTTATTCTAGTGAGTTCTTAGTTTCGATCTCCGACAATGAAGTAAGTTTCATCAACTTCACTTGTATCAGCGTGGCTAGAACTTTCTCGGTTAAGTCCGATATTTCTATCTAGGTTGATGAGGACATCCTCCACTATTACCCGTTGGCAAAGACGCAAAAGTCGAGCGGCAACCATGTGAGCCTCTGAATAATCCCACCTTGCTTAGCTTGGGAGGAGGAAGCCACCTTAAAAGGGAGAGCCACCCTTCCCCTATTGGACTAGTCTTTTAGGGAGATTAGGCCTTTCCCCGAGTGGGTGGGCCTAAGAACTGTTGGGGTCTGGGCAACCTTAATTTGTTGGGCCTCGGCCAACCCCACCAATAAACCCCTACCACTATGTTTTGATAATATATTTTATATTTTTTATGCAGGAGTTGACGGTTAAAGTTTTCACTTAACGACCATTTATAACTGTCTCAGTTAAATCCGATCTATCAGATTGCTATTAATAAGCTGATAAGTTTTTGTGTAGTGTTTCATCGGAGCGATAAGTTATTTTGTGATGATTTCTAAATACTGTATTGGCCTCCTAAGTTGATATCGGCTCCCTAAGTTGATGATCAACATCTTGATTATCGATCTATTTTCATCTTGTTAGTTGTCGGATCAAACTAACTGGCGCGCTCGAAACTCATAATACATTGAAGTTAAGCAATTTTCCCAGGTTTTCATGTATCATGACGTAATTTCACGTCAACAGATAATACATAACTCAGTGTTTTTTTTTTTGCAATATACTGGATTTTAAGGGCAACGTTGGTGTTATTTGAAATTTTTTTATAATTAGTATTTTTGTTATTATGAGATGATAAAACATGAATAATACTTTACTCGTGACTTATATTTTTATTTTTTAAAAAAAATTCAAATAAAACGGGCAGTCAAAGTTGAGCGCGAAAAAATCATGGCTGTATTTAAAAATGGGACGAAGGGAGTAGTATAAAAGAATGCAAAGTATTCATCATGTGTGATATTTTCTCAACTCTTGTGCACAAATTAACAAATGATACTTAGAATATATATAAGTGATTAACTGATTAAGCACACAGAGTGCAGCAGAACACAATAGATAAGCTAAATAAACCCACAGCAATACATACATATATACGTGTGAAAAAAATCGTCTGAAGCGGACGGTTCAACCGCTTGTCTACGACGCATGGAGAACAAAAACATCAACACCAGTGCTATGAGCAGTATTACCCAGTGGTATCTAGAAACTGAAATATAAATTTCGCCATTTTATACAACCCCTTTGGAAAAATTTCCCCTTTTCTTCAAATCAAGCGCTTACAGAACTATATATGTTTACTTGCAATTAGTTTTGTCTATAAAATATAACTGGTTCTCTAATATACGGCTCCTGATCCTGATCTTGCAGAACATTTCCTGATCTAAGCAATTGTCCTCCTATTGCTTTGGATGAATTCCTCCTGCCCTGTAACCCAGCATAGTGTTCAGCCCTCGGCGATCATCTGCTACGAATTGTTATCACCTGCATTACTTTTTTTTGTTCGAATTAAGTGCAAATCAATGGATCGGCAGAACTCCAGGCTATATGACAGATGTGCAAAGATTGATTTGGTACCTCTTGCGTTTGGTTTTGACGCTGGTGGAGGAAGATGGGTTACTGTGCCAGTTTCTTTTCCTTTGGTTGATGAACCAGTTGTTGATCTGCTTTAGCTGTAGCCCTGTTTCTTGGACTAGCCGTGCCTTGTCTTCCTCCTACATGACGAAAAAAAAGGGAGAGGAATTCAGTTATGTACATCCTGTGATGAACACCCAAAATGGATGAAAAGAGAGGGCACAAGTGGCCAAACGGCATTGCAACACAACAAGCGTGACAATAAAATAAGGTGCTTGAACAGTATAGGAGACCATAACAAGTTCAGAAAACTCGCAAGATTCAGAGAAGGCAGGACACATGGAAATAATAGACTTCTAGACGAGTAAAATACACCAACGATCCTTAAACTTGTCAGGAGTTTTCACTTAGGTGCATGAACTTGTAAAGCGCACATCGAGATCACTAAACTTGGTTTATTGTATCATACCGGTCCAAAGCCTCGTTTGACTGTGGTCTTGCCTACGTGGCACGCCACGTGGACAATGACATGGAATTTTTTTTTATTTTTTTCTCCCTTCTTCCTTCTTTTTTCTCTTTCTTCCTTCTTTTTTCTCGGTGGTGAGAGGCGACACGAGGGGAGGGGTTGTCGCAGTGGTGAAAAAAAGAAGGAAGAAGGGAGAAAAAATAAAAAAATCCATGTCATCGTTCACGTGGCGTGCCACGTAGTCAAGACCACGGTCAAACATGGCTTTGGACCGGAATGATACAATAAATCAAGTTTAGGGCCCTCGATGTGCGCTTTGCAAGTTCGTGGACCTAAGTGAAACCTCCCGATAAGTTTAAGGACCGTTGGTGCATTTTACTCCTTCTAGACTAACCTGTGAATGCAAATAATCCCTCTGTTTCATAATGTGAGACTTTCTAGCATTGCCCACATACATATAAATGTTAATGAATCTAGACACATACATATGTGTAGATTCATTAACATCTAAACAAATATAGTCAATGATAGAAAGTCTTATATTGTGAAACGGAGGGAGTATATTAGTCATAAGGAAGCTAAGCATGTGAATTGTCTCACTCTCATCATCACTTACTGTTGGATATGGCCACTTTGCATGAGACTGCCACCAAGCTTTTAACGTAGAAGTCGTGTCTCCCGGTAGCTTTCCCGCTCTTCGCTTGCGAAGAATTTCTTCTCTTATGTCAATCAGCTTCTCTTTGTAACCCTGAATTTGCCAAGTGATTAGTACTGAGATTCATCAACATGTCCATTTTTCCCCCTGAAAAGCAATTATTGGAATCCATTTCAAACCTGCTTTAGTTCATGCTTTAGCTCTTGACGGACACGCTCCATTAGGGATCGCTCGCTTTCTGTGGGAAGGCCGAAACCCATGTTATCCGCTCCATCCAAGCTTGGATCATACATGTTTGCCTCGCTATCTGCCTGATCATCTTCACCGTCTGACATGGTTGCTCCCGTGCCTTCACCGGGCGAGGCACCTGTCCATGAATTTCCAGTTTGTCATTTTCTTTAATCAATTTGATTGATACCAGTCTACCAAAAACTAACTTAGCAAAATACTAAAACCCTCTCAATTTACGCTCTGATCGTGTCTGTAACACTCAAAGCTTTAGAAATAGAGAATGCTCACAAACTTGGAGTTTCTTTCTTTTTTTTTCCTTTTTTAGAAAATGGATTAAACCGGACTTGGAGTTTCTATCTGAAGCAAAAATCTTGAACAAACAAGAGCAAGAGCAAGACTAAGCAAGAGCAAGAGCATATCGTGCCAGACTAAGCAAGAGCAAGGAACAAACAATTCGCTGCTCCAACAATATGCCATTTCCAAACCATTAGTCAATTCTTTACTATCATTGCATTACCAAGAAAAGTTTGGATTTTTTTTCCTAATAAAAGTTTTACTTTTGTAAATTATGAAAATTGAAAGAGATAACAAAAAGGTTGTACCTGTCAAACTCTGAAGGTTTTGTTCAAGTTCCCAGCATGCCATTACTGCTTCCATAGCATGAACACGGACATGCTGCTGTAGCTGCTCTTTAAACGAACATAATAGCAAGACGTAGTGCGTCTAAGAAAAGAAACAACTACAGGTTACTAACATGAAGTGATAAACTCTAAAACAAATGTAGTGATCAAGTATGTTGAAAGAATCACTATATATATAAAACAATATCATAAAATAGATGCAATACCCAAAGGCAATGAAAGGCAGGAGATGCAAAGAGAAGATGTCACATGGTACGTAGGACGTCCGAAAAGGGACGTGCAGAAGGATCAATCTTTGATTAAAAAAAAGGAGATCAAACACCAAACATTAATAGCATTACACAATCTGTATGGCAGACCGAGCACACAAGTACAATTCCTCTGCTCTGAAAAAATCCATGTTGTGACATTGAGGTTGTCAGTGTCATACCAAGTTCATTAGCTGTAAGGCAAACGAAGGGCTAAATTGGAAAAATATATGGTCCCAACATCAGTAGTGCGTTGGTGCTGTTGCTAGCTTAGGAGAAGCTATCTGAAGCATAATGATGCTTTATGGCTGCTACCTATTATTACAAGGTCCAGCATACCAGCCAGGACATGACCAAAGAATCAAGAAACTGACCAGGACCACCAAATCAATAATGATATCTTTCTTGTGTTTTCTATCCAAGGCAAATTAAAAAAGGGTGAATCCTTAGTTGCTTAAAAATAGATGGGACCGAGACTATATTGCATCGTAGTTCTGGTCGTATGACCCTTGATACGATCAAAGGCCTGCACTATAAGTGGACAAAAAGAAGATGAAACAACCAGTATCTTGGACCACTGTTGGCATATTTGTGTTCTGGTGGTCCTGTTCAAGTGTGCAAATACAAGATACTTACAGAAGATGTTTTGCGATGGTCCTAGAAATCAATGTAGATTGTCCATCTTTTCTAATCCAATGGACTGTGTCTAGTTATACTACCACCTCAATTATCAGTGGTAGAATATCTTTTCTACTGTTAAGGGATAACTAATAATCAATAATTCAAATCACTTCTAAGTTTAGACACATCGGCCACACGGGGTAAATGAGACAGTATTTTAAGTCCTAGAAGACATGTACCCGCATTTCTTGCATAGGGACCAAAAAGTACACCATATCACAAGCCTTTAGTGCAAGTAGGTACTGTAAGGACGGTCCTGCCCATGCTTGTATGGGTATGCATCATTTATTCAAGATCAACCACTACTTTTTTCACATTGCAAGGCACATTAGACACAAGAAACATAATATAATGTCACGTGCATTGGCCATTCTCAGTGTCTTGCCATTCTAGTACTATTATTTGCTTCTTCTGTTTCAAAAGAAAAAAAAATGTATTTGCTTCTTCACTCCTTAAAATATGGGAAACGTGTTTAGTACATGCAAAAAAAAAGTTCCATAGTATCCATTCCTACAATAATATACTCCGGCCTACTCAATCAAACTCTACTACGTTGTATTCGTCTGAGTAGACGCAACAGAGGGAAAACGATATCAAAATCAAATGAATGCTGGGGCTTTACGCATTATTATTATCAGCGCTGCTGAAATCAACGCTCATTTATAATTCACATTTTGAAACTCGCTGAGAACTGGACCATGCCTTGACTGATTGCCAAGACAACAGAATAACATGCATTTGCAGCTATCACTGCACTGGCACAAGGAGATATAGTAAACGAAAAATGTCCTAAAAGAAACCATACCCAGTCCTCTTCATAATATTTGTCCATGGCTCACTGTACGAACTAAGAACAGATCAATAAAGCTCAAATTAAGAAAAAAATCAATGAGAAAGGACCATAGATACCTCTACATATAAATGCATGATACAACATCTTACCTCTTTTGGAGCATTCAATTAGAAACAAGGAATGAAAAATCGTAATAACTACATACTGTTAGCATTCTTAACAAACAAATATGTATGTGGAAACGAATTCTTCAGAACAATAGACATATACACAGGGACGGAGACGGCTAGCTTGACTGCTTGAGCATCCTAGGCTTGTCTCCATCCCTTGTAAATCCATTCAAAAATCCATGGAAAGTTTGAAGATTCGACGAATCGCATTGGTTGAGCCCTGATCTTTATAAATTCCTGGCTCCACCGCTGATATACATTTTGTGAAAAAGGAGGGAGCAAAGAACACACAGGTGGATCTAAAATGCAAAGGCCCTAGGGTACAATGGTGAGAAACATCACAACCAAGCCCACCCACAATCTTTTCTTTTGCACCCCAATGACCACCACCACCCACAACTGGTAACGGCAAGTCCCTACACCATTTATGGCGTGGTCAAGATGCACACACATAGTATTCTACATACACCCTCTCCCATGTCAAAACTGGAGAGGGAGAGAACCAGAGGAGAGAGAGAGACCAGCCCAGCTTTGGGAAAGGAACAGAAAATGGCAGCAAAGGTGGTCAATATTGCAGCAGAGGAGATAAGTGGGAGCCATGGCTGATTGTTTCCCTCCCCATGATCCCCCACGACTTGCCCCGTGACCTCCACATTTTTGAATGCAGGAAAGAAACTGGTCGAAATCGGTGTGAAATTCCAGGCGAAACCGAAACGTGATATGTTTAGCGTGAATTCAGGACTCAGGTTACAGCGTCCTACGTCACTTGTCGCACCAAACTCATTTGAAAGATTGTTTCCATGAAAATTGTAGACCCCAGTAGAAACAGTCAAAAACCCTACTTGATTGCGAGCACACGGGATCTCAGAGCTAGAAGCCAACCAGCAGAAACCAGATTATTTCTTAAAAAAACAAAGGTTATGTTAATTTTTTTCTCTGTGAAAGGAATAAGCAAAGTTATCAGATGACATTGCTGCAAGAACAGAGCAAAAGGGTAAGAAAAAAAAAGAAGAAGAAAGGCAATGGCAGTACAAGGATACGGTTAATTTCTGCTTCAAAATCGATAAACCAGTAGGCCAAAAAGCAACAGAAACATGAGGCTTCGTGATTTGAAAACTGAAATCGCGTCTGAATAGCAACCGCGAATCCTGACACAAACCCTACGGAAGCAAACTTGGGAGAGAAGAAGAAGAAATAAACAAGCTTGCAAAATCAAAAAACGCATCAAAGGACGAATAGCTTTTAGCCTTTCACCCCTGAGTAATAAAGAACAGATCGCTTGACCTTTTCCCGCGATTAAATTAAGATAAACTAATCATCCAAATCCCCCTAATTAATCCCGCGGAACCACCAATCCCAAGGCAATCCGAACAACCAGCGGAGGGCGTGAGGATGACGAAGGCCGAGAGAAGAGAGAGAGAGAGAGAGAGAGAGAGAGAGAGAGAGAGAGAGAGAGAGAGAGAGAGGTAGGGTAGGTTTGTGATGTGCTCACCATGAACTGGTCGAGCTCGCGGCCGTCGTCCCCGGCGGCGGCGGCGGCGAGGGCGGAGTACTTGGCGACGACGCCCTGCGACTGCGCGAGCTGCGCGTCGATGCGGGGGAGCTGGTCGACCGGGGTGGCGATGCGGAGGCACGCCACGTGCGCCGACAGCAGCTGCTCGTACAGCGGGTGCGCCAGTATCTCCGCCTTGCACCGCGCCGCGTCCGCCTCGCCGCCGCCGCCCATCGCGGCCGCCACCGCGTCCTCGCCGCCGCCGCAGCCGCCGCCGCAGCCGCAGCGCCAGACGGCGACGCCGACGAGTCCGACGTGGTCTGCAGGTGCAGGAAGCTCCCGTCGTTGTACCTCATCCACGCCGGCGCCCCGCCTGCCCCGACCCCACCCGCCGCCGCCGCCGCCGCCACCGCCGCGTCGTCCGCGCCGAGCGCCTGCATGGTCATCTCGTGCGGGAGGTGACCGTGGAACGCCATGGCCTCCTCCCCGTCCGGCGGCGTCGCCCCCCTAGGTAGCAGGAGGACTAGCTAGCTACCTATAGCTAGCTAGCTAGAGAGGTAGAGAGCTAGGAGTATGAGGTGTAGAGGAAGAGGAGGGTAGGCAAAAAGCCAAGCGGAGCGGGGAAAGGGACTCCTGCCTCCTTCCCCCTTCTTCTACACTCCCTCTCTTCTCCTTCTCCTTCTCATTCCCTTGTATTCTCTCTCTATATCCTAGAGAGAGAATGCTATAGCTAGCTACAGCTCTCCCTCTATATCTCTATATTTCACTTTCTCTCTCTACATGCTCTAATGAGGAGTATATAGTAATAACCTCTCACTGTCCATCTAGGGTGAGCATGGCTGCATTCCCTGATAAAATAACCCTGTTTTGGTGACTGTACCGGTTACATAGTACTACTACTATATGCCTACTAGGAAATGGTAAGCTTGGGGAGCTCCATCTTGTGCTAATAATGATGTTGCAATGGGGGGAGAAAAGGACCTTACCTCATGTAATTTTCTATGTCCAAACCAAAACAAGGTAGTAGCAGTGCCACCAACATCAAATTAAAAGTGCCCTCCTAAGAAAACGATTGATTTCGGCCGCGAAAACCATGCAATAATACATATCCATCGGTTAGAAAGCGTCGATTCATCCGGGGCTTGTCATCCGCGAATAACATGAAAATTTATGTATCCATAGTTTTGTTTCACACGTAGACGGTTTTTTCGTCCGTCTTTAGTACAGTTTAACGGCGCCACGTTGAGAACGAAAAATCTAGAGTTAGGTATTTAAATTGCATAATTTTGGAAGAGTGGTTGTGAGGAAACCAGCAAAGAGAGGGCGTTCCATGTTTAATAAAGGGGGTGGGGTTAGTTAGGTGGGGGCTGGGATTAGTGATATAGGCACCCGTGCTGTTGTGATTGCTGCTGTGCTGCTGCAGGCTTGGGGATTTGCTAAATGCGTTGATTATTGGCGGGGACTGGTGCAATTAGAATGGTCAGAGCTTCCACAAGAATCTTTCTCAGAGCCCGTTTTTTTGTCTCTGCCTCAAGCCCTCAACATTTTAGAAAGAAAAGGTAGCTGTCATGACAATACCTACTAGTGTTGTTTTTTCACTAATTAACTTGATCGCCATGATTAATTATGTGTTCTTTCTGGGTTAAGTGATTATGTTAACGTTCTCCGTGCCAAACTTTGCATTGTGTGCTCCATGGGGTTTTAGTGTTTGCAACGGTAATTTTATACAGTACTTCCTCCATCCCATAATATACTAAAGGATATTGGGTGGATGTGACAGGATGGAGGAAGTAGTAGTATATATGCCTGCTAGGAAATGAGAGGGTACAATTTGCACATAATTCCATGATTAGGCCCCTCAATATTGCATCTTAGTTCTTCAGTATATTAATGTACATGTAAGACAGTACAAAGCAATGCAATAATTTGGACAAAGTTGCTAGCTCTACAACCTTTCTTGGATTTTTACCGTTAATATTCACCAAATATTTGTCATTTTAAAAGTCTATATGTACGTTCAATCATATATATCGTTCAAACTTGTGTACGACGTGCTTCTAAAAAATATGGAGTAAATTATGTAAAACTACAAATATATTTAACAGAATTAGAAAGAACGTAACAACACAATGATATAAGAATGTATAAAAATTCAGGATAAAAGCATAAACCTATATTTTGTTTTTCCAAGGATAAATATACCTATAATTCTGTTCATCAGAGAGAGCCTAGAGACAACAAATAAGAGATGAAACAATCACCATGGTGTTTGGTTCCCTTGGAATCAACAAACAACAAAAACCGATTGCGATGTCGGTAGTCTTACATCGTATAAAATTTCTCACAAAATTTTCATGTTTTTTTTGCAAAAAAAATATGTGTCACAACTCACATAAGCCTGAAAATATGTCAAGTGAAATGATTGTGGAAATCAAAAGGTACTGTTTAACAAAATATATATCCAACTCAATCATTTCAGCTTGTCTGTTTTAAGGATTTTTCTGTCTTCATTTTTGTACATATCAAGAATTCAAAGGGAATTGTGTTGTCCTTTTGATAGTTTTGTTGCTGAATTACTTATTGAAATTTACTTTAAAATAATGTGGTAATGCAAACAAGAATATAGTTGCAACAAAGAAATTATACAAAGATAAATTAAATCCCATTAACTATTTGATGTATGTATTATGCACAATGTCATTTTTTGCAAACCTACTTGGCTGTAAGAAGGCTAAAGTGAAGATTTAAACGCAGTGAATGAAAAATGTAACAACTAAATTATGGCAAGGTTGTATTTATAACTTTTAAAGTACATCTATATAGCTAAAGCTTTCCATTTGAAAAAGTGTCTTCTTTATTTAATTGTGCAGTTGACAAACAACTAATAATTGTCACATCTAATAGTTAATTGACAAAATCTCACATGGATTTTATTTAATCATATAATGAATACTTTTCTTTCTGTTTTCCATGTAAAGCTCTAAAATAATTTCCCTTTATAATTACCCCTTGTATTTTAGATTTGCAATTCTTTTACCATGCAATGTCTATATACTTGTCAAATAAAAACTATACAGGATATACAGATATCCATACTTGGTAGAAAGGCCGATATATAATCTCTGTACTGATTAATAAATGCTCATAAATTCAAAATATTTAATTTTTAAACTTTTGACTAATAATTGGCCTAACAAAATGTATGCTTAGAGGCATAAATTGGTTACATTGGATTCATATTGGAAAGTACTCCCGTATTATGTAACTCTTGTAGTTGTTCATATAATGTATTTTAAAAAAATGATGTTCAAACTTTGATTCTGGAGACTAGTAGTACACTAAACAGATCCTTGGATCTTGATCAATCCCAATCTTTGAACTCCATATTTAAAACTAAATTAATAACCACAAGTTTGTGGATAAGAACTCCATATTTAAAACTAAATTAATAACCACATCCATGGTTCAATAAACATAAAACAAGCTCTTTAAATTTCATTTGACTATTGGCCAGATAACACATATTATTTGTTCTTTTTAAAAAAGATTTGACACATTTCAAATCAAATCACAATAGCTAGCTTACCGCAGAAGCAAGATCAAGTTATTGATCTATACCATTGACAAGCTATTATACACTCATTATCAACGAATAATAAAGCATTGGTCGTGGATTGCAAGGCAACAGATTCTGCATACAAGAATTTGGTCGAATGTGGTCATTATAGGATTATTATATGTAACTACCAAGAAATGTCCAAACTAAACTACTAGTCTAGCTAATCCGTGACGTTGAGCTCTTGGTTAGATAATATAAGAACGGATAAAAAAAGAGCAATTGTGTGATGTATTTACATATGTTTTTGATACATTTGCAAACATATACCGACAAATCAACGATATTATTTAGTAGTAGTAGCTGTTATAGTATCATATGTAAAAAGACCAAAACCCCCTCCTTGAAAGGGTAATATATGCATACGTACATTGTGAAACTGTTGCATATTTAGTTATTGACACTCTTTTCATTGAACAAAAAAGGTTAAGATAACAAGGACTTGTTTGTAATTTTTTGAAAAGAAAAGAGGCCTCCGTTCAAGCCAGACACAGAGAGAGAGAGAGAGAGAGAGATTAAAGGGCGGGTAGAATTAGGCGCGAGTGACAATGGCGCGAAGAGGAGGCGTGATCCCGGCGTCCGGTCCCGACGCGACACGTGTCGCCCGCTCTGCACCTGGACCACATCTCCGTGGGCCCCACGGTGTGGAGAACGAGGCCGTGGGCCGTGGGCAGCAGCAGCCAATGGGAGCCGGATGCGTAGGCCAGTCGCGGCCTGCAGCCGACGGACAAGTGGACGCGGGCGGCACCAACTCTCCTCAAGGCCACTCACTGATATCTGGGACCCACAGTGACCCGGGCCCACGCGTCAGTGATTAAACAAAGTACGGCGTGGCTTTCAGGTGGGCCCGGCCCCACTTCCGCGTGCCCCACGTCGGAAAAAGGAAGAAGACCTCGCACGGCAACGGAGACCGAAAAATCGATTTTGCTATATCTCGCTCGAAAGATTTTTTCTTATGTCTCACTCGATTTTCTCACTCAAATTTACAGTGCATTTTTTTATAAGTTACAGTGTAATTTATGAAACTTACACTATAACTTTTGTTAGTTACACTGTAATTTTTGAATCTTCGTATATAAATTTTAAATTTTGTATTGGATTTGATCTTTTTCTTGAGGATATGGTAATTTAGTGTCCATTATGGTGTTTCTTAATTGCCTTTTGCCTTTTATTATATCTATCGGATTTTAATCTAAAGATTAAAAATCTATGTGATACGATTATAAAAATCTTTCGAAAGATGTATAGGTACTCCCCCGAAAAATCTAGACCGGCATTTACTATCCGGTGGGGGCACACCGAGCCATGGCCCACATGTCAGTGGCTGTTTGGTGGGGATGCCACGCGTGGGCTAGACGAGGTCGCGTACTTGCTCCAGGTGATGTGGGCCCTCATGCTACTTTACTGTGCCGCCATGGTCCCCGCGGCGGCAGGATAAGCAGGCGGACGCTCCCCACTGATACCGTGAGAAAATACTGTCGCGTCACGGGCTGGTGGGTCCCACACGCGTGGGACCAGCGCGTCGGCGACGCGTGGTGTGCGGGGTTTGGTCGGCATGTACTCCTACAGGGGTATGGTGGGAACGGAACGGCAGCACGCGCTTGGAAAAAACGGTGAGAAAGGACGAGAGTTTCGTGGAGGCAAAAGGTTAGGAGCGTACTTATCACTGACTGGTGGGGTCCATCTGTCATTGTGAGAAGCGTACGTATTATGCGGTGGCGATGGACCGTTGGGTTGGGGCTAGTGTTTCTATGACTGCTGGCTGATGAGGCTTCTGTCAGAATGGGCCCAAGTGACAGGCGTGTCAGAATTCAGAGGGACCCAAGTTTCTGAGCGGTAAGCTAGTGGGCAGATGGCTACTACCGTTAAGGCCTGTCCCCAAGTGGCAGGTGCTCCTCAGACCTGAGTCATCATGTACCCGTACCCTTCTTCTGATCTCTTGGATAGGAGTTGTACGAGCTGGATTTTTTACATTTTATTTTTTTTAAACGATTACAACCTCCGTCTCAAAATAAGTGCAGCAGTGGATATCCGTGCCCAACGTTTGACCGTCCGTCTTATTTAAAAAATTTATGAAAAATTTAAAAATATTTAGTCACACATAAAGTACTATTCATGTTTTATCATTTAATAGCAATGAAAATACTAATCATACAAAATTTTCAAATAAGACGAACGATCAAACGTTGAACGTGAATAGTACAAAAC